CTCCTCTCTCTCTCTCTCTCCATCTCTCAACCTGTTTCTCTCTCTGTCTTCCTCACTCTCTTTTACTCTTTTCCTATCTCTTTTTACACATCCACATCCACATACGCGCATTCACATACATGTACGCTTAATTTGCTTTATTGTGCTGGTAAGTTCCTACGCTGACAGTAGCAATAGCCTTTTCTCGTATTACTTATTATTTTCTAGTTGGACGTTGCAAAAGCATTTGTCATAATGCAAGGATGTAACTGGATGACCGCCCTTTTCGGAGGACGATTCCACAGTTTTGACAGCTTTAGTCAGACCTTCCCACCTGGTCAAGTTCCCAAGGTAAGGAGAGATTCTTCCCTTTGTAGGTATCGTTGTTTTTGGAAAAAAAACCTCACATACTCACATTTCATAGCACTTCAGCCATCACTTTATAGAGATGGTGGACGATATAAACTCTAAAAATTTGATCTCTGTATACTGTAATTGTGTGTTGGAAGAAAGTTCAACGTTTTACAATGATTACTATCAACACAGATGAACTTTTATGAAAACTCAGTTTTTTGCCGGTATTCAGTAATATCGTACACTCCAAGCAGAGGTTTGGGTTTTGGGGGTATTTTTAGCGTGTTTTTAGGCTTTTTTTTATCGGAGTTTCTCTTTTGCACTGAATTTTTGGTGGGAAAAAATTCAGTGCAAAAGAGAAACCCCGATAAAAAACTAAAAACACGCTAAAATACTCCCAAAACCTAAACCTCTGCTTGGAGAGTAGTAATATCGGTCATCATTTCCATCAGGATTCGTAACTGAGTTTTGTTTTGACCACTCCGCCAGGGAAAATTCAATTGGAAACTGGATGAGAGCTTCGGTGCACAGCGCCTGCGTGGAGTTAACCCAACCTCCATCAAAATCTGCCAGGAGATTCCAGAAAAGTCTGAATAGTTTTTAATCACTGCAAGAAGCTGTTGTATTACGATTATGCAATCTTTTCTCTACAGGATATGCCACATTTTAATGCATGTAAAGTTATTATATTGTTACTGTCGGGAGGGAAGTATTGTTTGGGGTGGGGCTGATTTATGCTAGGTTTGCATGTCTAGGTTCCAAGGTGAGTGGGTGGTGATTAGGTTTCACTTGATAGACATGGTTTTGACACGGTATGCTCTCGGTTCACTGATGTGGTCGCAAAGAATGTATGAAACATAAACCATGGTGTAATTTGAAAACGAGTAGGTTTCGTCGTACAGTATAATGGATTGTATGATGTAAGTCATTAACACAAACCATATCTACTTCTGTTACATTTCTTTCCATTTTAAATCCTATGTTTGTAATTAGCCTGGTATCGGTCCGTATTTTCTCCCCATTTCGACAGGATATTGGGCACAACGGGTATCAGGCTATTTCCAATCTAACAATCCGTCAAAATGCAATATATTAAATTCCCCTACGTCTATCGTGGGGTTAATTCTTCAGGTTCGGTGTCACGGCCGCCATGTTGGAACCACAGCTGGAGGGTCTCAAGCTTGAAGAAGCTCTGGCAACGAAGCATTTGTACATCGTGGACCACACGATCATGAAAGTATCTGCATTCATGAACCAGAACAGGCCGGTAAGTCGAAAGAAGCAGCAAACACATATTATAGTAACTGCATTTGTATCTGTGAAGCCATTATAACATCCCTTTGGCGTTACACACAGGTAACAATGTAAGTAGAGTGTGCGTTGAAAGTACAGAAATGTTTGTTTCACGCGGTTTTAGGATATTCTTTTTCTTTGGATCACCACCGTGGTATGTATGTCGAATCAGATGGTTAGTGATTACAAATAATGCATCTTCGCTATTTTTTTACAGATGTGTGCGCCATACGGTCTGTTTTTCGTGAACAGCAAAAATGACCTAGTACCCGTGGCCATTCAGCTCTATCCTAATGAAGGAGCAGGGCAGCATCCGGTAAGTGATAGTTTTTCTGATTCGATTGGTTGTTACCTCCGTGTACGTACTTACGAAGGTTTTGTTTCCATTGTGTCTGTTTCTGTGGTTGCTAGTGTTTCCGTAGCTATTTACACAATCTAGACACGGCGGTGACACACACAAAAGTTAGATCAAGGGTCCCAGAAAGGTCCAAACAAAATCATCTCGTTTCCTGCCTTCGATGTCCTGCTGCATCCTTGTCTGTTGCCTTATGGAGACCGATGGGAAACGTATAGACAGAGTCAGCGAGTTGATCACGGTAGATGATGAAACCAGAAATTTACAAAATACTCTAAATATTTCACGGATGTATTTGTTTGTTTTCATCTTGCACTTAGAATGCATGATCATGTACTATTATGCTACTCAATGATGGTTCATACCATACCAACTGTTTTGGGCAACTAAATTTATACCGTAGCATATGGTCATCTAATTCGTGATGTGAAAACGAATTTAGGACATAAAAGTGCTGACAATAGACAAACAAAAGGTACATTATTCTATCAACCCCTACATGTAGGTGTTCCTGCCTAGCGACTCGCCCTACACCTGGCTGTACGCAAAGATGTGGTTCAACTGCGCAGACGGGAACTACCACCAAGCCGTGCCTCATCTCGGTGAGATACACGACTAGCTTCATCATCAAGCAATGCTCTTCCCTCACGAACCCCTGGTTCATATTCAATCCATTCCATTAAGAACAGTCGATAGTACAAATTAAATTCATTGTCGTATCCACATATCGTATACCAGGCAAATAACATTTCTTTCGAGTCTCCAATGAATCAAATGTTAGTTCACCACATTTTAGATTATATATGTCGTCAATGACACTGCTGTAGTCATATTAAGGGTACATTCTGTCCATGGTGTTAAACTTCTGACCTCCTGTTGTCTTCAACCACTCATGTCAGGATCTCTACGTACATTTTATCTATTTTTCGTAAATTTTCACATGGGTTAACATATCAGGCAACGACCCTGCCTTACCGGCCTGCGTTCCGTCCTTCTTGCTCTTGAGCGGTGACGTGATTGGCTGGTGACGACTGACAAGCGCTAACGCAGCGATAAGGACTGTTCGCAGGCCGGTACTCCGCGGCCGTTGCTTGACGTATACATATAAGCGGTAGCAACTGGCACGGACAGATGGTTGTGCTAAGTCGTTCCTTCTTTTTATCTAAAGGATTCACGCACCTTCTGATTGAGTCATGCTCTCTGGCGGCCAAAACAACACTTTCCCGCTCGCACCCCATTCAGCGTCTCCTGGAACCACACTTTTTCAACACGATGGCCATCAATGAGTAAGCTTAAAATAACGGAAACTTCCTTTACACGTATGCCATACTGTATGGTTAAAAGTTACAGTTGATTCTAAAAGATCAAAAAGAATACAAATGTTTGTATGTATAGATTAGATAGATAGATAGACAGATAGATAAAGTTAGATATGGGTAGTGTATAACCTGATATGTGATTTTATTTTCTTGGCTAAAAATAATCCTATCATATATGACTTTATTCATACATGTCTTTAGCTTTGTTAAACCTTTAGCTGTAGAAGACCATGCAAAAGTCCCTGTACTTTTTGTTGAGTCAATATATAAAGCATCTCTACAATCAAATTAAACCAATCGTCTTTATATTTTGTTGAAATATGAGACGTCAAAGGCGAGAAAAAGACCCTTTACTGGAAACCTTTATTAGAACAATTCACGTTGACTCTTTTGTTGTTATTATTATTGTTTGTTTGTTTATTTTAGCCTGGCGCGGAACACACTAATTAGCGAGGGGGGAGGCCTCACCAAAATCACTATGATCGGAGAGAAGGGGGCCTTTGAGGTCATGAAGGAAAGGTGACCAAAACTGAATACAATTGCTAGCAATGTTAAATAGATTTCTCTTTTAAAATGCCCTGTCAACTGTATAACAAGAAAGATACTAAATACAAAAATGTAAGGTAGTTCCATAGCCTTTTTCCGGCCGTAGGGGCAGTGGGCTTTTAATCCACTGTGTCTAGGGCATGGGAGCGGAATGCGGAGCCGACTCATTTCCTTCCACTGCGTTTTACTTGTACCTCCCCAAACAGAGCCATGTACGAATTTTACACATAGGCGGAATGATGACAATCCTGTAAAGTGCCTTTCCAAAAGATACAGCCTCTTGCCATGAATCGAATCTGTGACCTCATGGTCTCATATCCGCTAGCCTAAGCAATAGGCATTCAACGTCACTACACTGAAGACAAAGCCAAGGTAAATAGATATAGCTGGTGTTAGTCAAATCTAGAAATATTTATTTATTCAGAATTGTAACATGACAATACACAGTGTGCACTAGGCAGCAAGTATGCTGATAGCCTGCACACCTTACACATACCTGGACATATGACATAGAAAAACAACAATAAATAGTAAGAACAAAATACATACACAAATAACATTATCTAATAAATTACATCTAGAAATAGTTTCCGTCCTACTCCCCTGCAATTTTTACATTGCATGATCACAGTTGATTTCAGGCTATTCTAGCAGCTTAGTCACTAGAAACAATATCATACTTTTTAACTCTAAAATAGACTGAAGACTTGGAGAATGGATGTGGACGGAACGCTTCCTGAGGACCTGAAGAATCGAGGCGTGAGTAGTTTCATCTAAAACTAATATTTCGATTCCATTTTGATAGCGATATCTATTAATTTGCGGTACAATATTCGTTCTTGTCAGTCTGGAATCATGGATGTCTACATCTGTATTATCATTAGTTAAATGTCTCTTTTCATCGACACTGCCATAGTGTAACTGATCATTACAGCAGGAAGTAAAGGCAAAACTTCTGCAACACTAAGGTATCGTAGCACCATAGGTTTAAACACTAACAAACCTGCAAGCAAAGAGGAAAAGTCACTTCAGAATTTTTTTTTTAGCTATTCTGTTCACAAATGGATCAACTACGGTAAAGACAGAGCCTCTTGACTCTGATAGTACCCAATATAAATATGCCTAGCAACACAGAACCTTCAATATCGGTGGACATTATGTTCGTCTAACCTTATTGCCGCCTTCTCTCTTGGCTGACTTTTGTCTGTACTTTATGGCACTAGATTTTTTTACCAAGGCTGGTCACCATCTGGAATCAGCTGAGTCCTGTACTCCGTAATATTGGGGTTCAAGCCTCTGAAATGTCCAACATCTTGACATTCAAGCGATCGCTTGTGAGAGCCACGTTTATGAGATTTGACACCCACAGTTCAATATCGACGTCCCCTGCTCCTGGTCCACATCTTGTGGTTGTGCCTCATGCACTGCTTTAAGGCCGCATTAGTATCATAATTAGCTTTTTACTCTGTACATAATGATATTTGATAATTTTTGTACATATAAATCAATTCTGTGTATAATTTTAACCGAATTGCATATTTCATGTCTACTGATGTCTAATGTTTATTCTTTGACTTGGTGTCGTATTGTATTGTTATGGGTTCACCACACCACGAAGTGGTGTGGTGAAACCATATTGCTTTTTCTGATGTTTCTTCTCCTTCTCCTCCTCCTCCTGCCATATCTTTAAATGGATTCAGCTTCTTCATTTTAGGGCCTAAGGTCCTGAAATTTGGTATGGAGGTACAGTGGGCAAATACCCCTAGGCGTTTTTTAAATTTTTGTGATACAGGCTTTTAGAATGGTTTTATTTGAGTTTTTTGGCTGTATTATAGCTAATGTATTACTGTGTTAGTGTGCCATGTTTACCACGTCTGGGCATGAGTCATCACAATGGAATGCAGGGCATCAACCAATAGGCATGCAGCTTTCCTCTATACTTCTTGCTGATTGGCTGTTGGAATTTAACTTGATTAACACCTGCACACTGAGCATTTCCACCTGCACAGAGCATTTCTTGCTGATTGGCTGTTGGGATTTAACTTGATTAACACCTGCACAGAGTATTTCCATACTGACAGTATGTCTTTATTAAAGTGTTTTGGTAGGTATTTCAAGCTTTTCTGCTCCAGCATTGGAATGCGGGGCATGAACGTTTTTTTTTTATTTTGAAAATCAACAGTTTGCATTATGCAATTAAAAATCCTAACCAATAAAGTAGGGAATAGCTATCCAACTGTTGTTTTAGTTGTATGTTACTTCATATTATAGTTATATCAATGTAAATCATTGTTTTCCCTTGTGTTTCTCATTCTTTCCCTGCCATGTGGGAATGTGGTAAAATGTGGTGAACCCATCGCTGTATTTGCTCCAAAGCAAATATTGGCCTTTCTAGTTTTGTATTATCATTTCAGGTTTGGGAGGACAACTTGTAAAGGCGTTGATACACCTGTTTTGTCCTCCCTTCCACTTGTTTTTGCATGTGGTAAATTCAAACAAAGAAATAAAGAAATAGATGCGACAGTACAATCATGAAATATGCGACTTTTGTCTTTTAAATCACACAGGTAGATGACCCGGAGACTCTCCCAAAGTACTACTACAGAGACGACGCGATGCCAACATACAACGCCATCAAAGAATACGTGAGGGGAGTGGTGGACATATTCTATGAGGGCGATAACGGTAGGTCCAAGGTTGGGAATAGTTCAAACAGAAAAAAGGTGGATGTTAAAAATAATAAAAAGTATAATAAAATGGAGTAAAACACAGAACATCATTGCTCTTCACAGGGTTTCCTTGTAGCAGTCACAATTGATTGTTAACATAAATCATAATTGCCTCCATGTGATGGGGTGTTGTTTTCCGTGTATTTGTTTACTTGCTTCAGTGTCAGTTGTTGTAGTTAAGTTGTAGACAAGGTTACAGTACTCACAGGAAGTTATGGGGGATATACGGTAACCGCAGACTGGCAAAAATGCCGAAATGGTCTTCTCGTAGGCTGTGAGAAAATAGTAAAGTAGAACATGTACAAATCCAAATTAATGAATAAACAAGAAACTCTTAATACTTTTTGGATATGTAAAATCTTTAATTTCTTTGATTTGTTTATATGGATGACATACGTGAATGCATTTTCCTCCGTTTCCTAAAAAAAGTTGTCGACCATACTATATATCGTACAAAACAGCTACAAAATGAGAATATATATGCCGTAAATTGCAAAAAAAAATATTTGTGAACGATACTAATGTCTTAGAATGCCAAATTCAATTTTAAAAGAAAAAAATGTAAAGAAATGAAAATGAAGTGTGTTTAATCATTTGTTCCATCTTCATGACCACGCAGATTTCATGGTAAGTCAACTTTTTTTAATAAACGTTTTTTTTATTCGCACGCTCGCATTAGTTTTGGGGATTTCAGTGGATGTCATCCATACTATCAAATCAACATGGCCTTATGTATAGCAATAGCAATTGTCTTATGTATAGCATTTCTGTTGATAATGCATTGCTTTGGTGGTGGGGACATTGGCGTTGATTACTTTTTCTTTGATTTAGATAAACTGAAGGAAGACTTTGAGATCCAGGCATTTGCAAAGGCGCTTGTTTCTACCGAAGATGGGAAGGTGGCAATCAAGGTAAGCATGATGCACCGCTTTACCTTCAAATCGTAGCCTTCTCTATGAAACGCGGGGCTCATGGTTTATGACCAAAACGCTGCGTAGAATGGCGCTCTTGTGTTATACCCTGCATTTGTCCTGCATAATATTGTTGCACTGGAAACGTAGGAAATCTGGAAATATAGATATCTGACCATTGTTAAGAAAATGCCATTAAGTTTAATGCTATCAGTATAGCGACGGTCGCAAACCCTCGTACTTGTGTTTGTCCATACGTTTTTGGGGATGCCACGTCCACCACGTTTTTTGAAAACGTAGGGGAGGACTGGCAAAAGCAATGAGGGAGTACGTCAACGCACGTCACTCGCACGGCCGTTAGCGGTTGCGTGCATATCATTCGTTGCGCAAGTGGTGAGTTATACGTGCACGTGCTTACAACGTACGATCTCTCAGCGATTGCCACGTTACCGTATGCAGGCTGTACGTACACGCGCTGCTTACGTATTATTTTCTTACTCACTCGCAAGTTGGCTGTACATGTACAGGGCACGCGCGTTGCCCGCACTGGCTCGTACAGAGGGTGAATCCGCAGCCCGAAAGCAGAGAAAGTTGTGCATGCACTCAAAGTGCTACGACGGTTCACACAACTTAAGTGAGGGTCACAACCAGCCGTGCGTGCAACTGAGTGGGATCCGTAAGTGGTGAGTACCACCTCCGTACGAAATTCAACGGATTTGGGAGCACGCAGACACGCCGTACCACTTGAAGTGCATGTAAAACTTTCTCTGCGTTCGGGCTGCGGATTCACCCTCCGTAGGTGCCACTTGCACGCACTTACAACATGCGAGTGAGTAAGAAAACCGTAAGTAAGCAGTACGTGTACGTACGGCCTGCTTACGGTAACGTGGCAATGGCACAGAGATCGTACGTTGTAAGCACGGAAAAATCACCACTTGCGCAACGAGTGATATGCGCGCAACCGCTCGTGCGAGTGACGTGCGTTGACTTGCCCTCCTTGCTCTTGCCAGTCCTTTCCCCACGTTTTCAGAAAAACATTGCGGAAGTGGCCTCAAAGAAAAAAAAGAAACAACGCACGGACAAAAGGCACGTACGGTGGGATGTGACCCTCGCTTTACGGATCTCAAAAATTTGCCTAGGTTTTTGCACGTAGACAGCATGTAGTTGCACGTACGGCGGGTTGTGACAGTCGCTTATGGCAGATAAATAAGTGCTAGACAGAGGGCTGGAGCTTGTGCAAAGACAAAAGCATAATAAATGTGTAAACAAGACCTTATTGTTTAGTGCTTGAATTTTTTTTCTATTATTGTTTAAGGGGGTGCCAGGAAACGGCACATTCTCTACTTTTGACGAAGTTATCCAGACCGTCACCAGCATCATCTTCACCAGTAGCGTGCAGCACGCAGCCGTCAACTTCATGCAGTTGGACCAGTACGGCTTCATTCCGAGCATGCCACTCGTGCTGGTCAAAGATCCACCCAAAACTAAGGTTTGATACATTATGTACCGATTCTCAAACACCATTTACCGTAACTGATACATTGTCTCATCAGTTAATATTTACCTCCTTATTCGGAGGTTTGGTTTTCGGTTGTAGCGTTGTCTTACTTATTTGAATGTAGTAGAGTCACAGGAAGTATTGAAGGAAATAGTACACGTGTACCTGCAGACTAAAAGGTTGAATTGATGAAGTTCAAAATAATGGTCTTGAGAAATTTAGGAACTCGAAGATGGCGAGTTTTGCTTCCTGTGTGCCTGTGGTTATTTTTACATGCCAGGAATGTCCGGGACATCAAATGAAAAATTAGGTCAAAGGTCCAATGAAAGGTTGTTTTATTTCTTGTTACTCCGTGAAGGAGGTCAGGACCTCCGGACGGAGTGTTGTAATCGGCTGATTTTTCATGTTCGCAGTCAAAACACTGGGTTCTCTTTGTGTAATCGGCACGCAATTTTATACGCCGTCTGCGGGCATGCCCGTGTTGATGCACGAATGTGTATTTTTGCCGTTGCTGCTTTCGCGGTCAATGTAATATCGCAGACGCACCCCTACAATTACGAGGCGAATTGGAATGGTCCAGAAAAACGCGTTGTTTGGAATAGCAGTGGGGTTCAAAAAAGTTCATGCAGATACGGGGTGGTTTTTATAAGTGGTTCCAGATGTTTTTGCCCATGGTTAAGAGATGCCAAGTTTTTTGGAAGATGTTCGCAGCCAAAACGCATTCTTCCGTACGTCGCATTTCTGTGTAATTTCGCATGTGGTGTTGCATTATGTCCGGGATGATGCACGTCTTTTTATTTTTACCGTAGCTGTTTTGATATTGGAGTAAATGCTTATTTTCGAAACATCCCCATTTCTTTGAAATGGTTTCGTCCGTTTATGCAACTGTTACTGCGCTAATGACGACCAGTCGCGCTGTCCTGATACACCGCGAATGTGCGAGTGTTCCCTGTAGACAGTCCCGGGAGTCATTTTTTTGCACATTCCAGGAGCCAAACCAAAATACGTTCATGAACCGAGTCCAAAAAACCGAAACGTGAAAATCGGATGATCGGACCTGATGTACATTTCTCTTTCTATAGATTGTACACACAATACACACATCTTTAGATAATCTGGCCATGGCAGGTTAAAAAAAAGTAACCCTGAATCATACTAGATTAGCGTAAATGCATGTTAATGCGTTCAAAACAAGAAAAAAATTGTTTCCGGGTATTAATCTCTTGAATCACGGCGCTGAATATTGACGCAAAAATATTTCGGGCATCGCGCGCCCTTCCCGCGTCACGTGTAGGCATCTCGCATCTCTGATTGGTTGTTGCGTCTTAAGATGACTGAGCCGACGCGCGTTTAAACAATTTTTCTTTGTTCGATTTATCACACTTCACAGAGAATTGTCGCCAATGGCTACTTCTTTTTGTTGCAATATATAATACTTCACGGAGAATTGTCACCTATGGCTTCTTGTTTTTTCTCTTTCTCTCTTGTATCTCTCTCCGTTTGTGTTTGTTTGTTTGTACATTACTTTGATTTAGCACAGTGCCACCATTATGTTAGGCAGTTGGTTCAGCCCACTAAGTCACCTAGGGACTACGTCATCACATGCCTACTCTGTCCGCCATCTTTGTTGTGCTAGGTTGTGCACTTGAATTGCCGTATGGTGTCGTCGTTCAGCGATCTAAGTTGGCGCAGACTTCTAGGTTTTATTCAATTATCATTAATCAAACAGCTCTACGGTCTACATATGTTGACATTTTTACCCACACAATTCAATGCAGGATGCTTTAACGGAGAAAGACATCCTGGATGCACTTCCGGGAAAGAAAGAAGCCCTTAACATCAACACTCTTGGAGTAATCCTCAGCGAACGGGCCACAAAACCTTTGGGCGACTTTGAAGTCGAGTACCTTCGTGGAGACAAGGTGCACGAAGTCATCTCAAAGTGAGCAATATATATAATTTCTCTGTTCAATGATGTTGGTTTTATTTGTACATATACATGGGGTTGTAAAATATTAGCTAAGTGTAGAGTAGCAAAGTTGTCCCTCTTAACACATTAGAAATTTGGATGTGTAAGTGAAAAAAATATTGTCTTATTTCAGGAGAACTTATTTCAAACTTTGAATTTGCACAATTTTTTTTCTATATTCTAAAGTGGATCATAATCGATTCCGTTTATATTAGGTTTCAGGAGGAACTTTACCACATCTCTCGCGACATCAAGAACAAGAATTCGAAGCATCGTTTCCAACCGTACGACTATCTGGATCCCCAAAACATTCCCAACGCCATTAGTATCTAGGCGTGTTTGGCTCATAAAAAGTAACTTCACAGTCTATGGTAACTACAATAGATGATAGCACAAATGCACGGATAGACGGGTGCATTTTAAAATGTATACGTACTTCAGATATCATGCTTTGCTACTGTAATGCTAAATGAAAAATGGAGCAGGTGAACTAGAATTTACAGCCGCTTTTATCTAAGAGGACTGTGTAGTGAATAATGTAATGAAAGATAAAAAGTAACTTCACAGTCTATGGTAACTACAATAGATGATAGCACAAGTGCACGGATAGACGTGTGCATTTGTAAAATGTATACGTACTTCAGATGTCATGCTTTGCTACTGTAATGCTAAATGAAAAATGGAGCCGCTTATATCTTAAGAGGACTGTGAAGTGAAAAATGTTATGAGAGATGCTAAATGAAGAATCATAATATAATACTCCTTAGCAAGTGAAGCTTTGTAACACCCCATGGTGTGGGGATAGTTTTTAGTTTTTTTTAAATATTTCGAAATAGATATTAACATCAAAATGTATCATCAGCTTGGAGTTTATCATAAGTAAGTATATTGTAATACGTACTATGTAGAGCTTTAATACATTGATTACATCAAGGTCAATAAGCCATCGATTAAGTAAGGTCAAATTTGGCTATATCATGGTGACAACTAATGATAACCTAAATTGCATTGGGACTAAATCTGACGACATAATATACATGTAAGCTGAAGCCCCTATCACACATATATGACCTTCCCACGACTTTCCTCCAGACCACTCCCCAAACAAAATAATTCTGGGTTGTGAGTAGCCTGAAATCCAGTTTAGTATATAGCTCCATCTCTTTCTGATGGGCGCATTAAAACAGACTATGATTTTCTCAACTTTGCTCAAAATATAGAGTCGGCTGGCACAGAACTACACGAATTAAGGATTAGAGTGCAACCTTACTGAACAACTCCCAACTACTGATGAACTTGCTCACGACTAACTCCCAACCATGGTCTGGAAAACTTAGGGACGTGATGGGCGGATGTGTATGATAGGGGTTTAACTTTAAGCTATTGCTTTAGGAACGACAGACTTTTTATTATGTCGACACCATCATTTACTGTAGACTGTGTTTTATGTTTTTTTTCTTCAATTATATATCTGATCAGCTAATTATTGGTGCGTTATGCATGTATACTATGGAGGAATTATGTTACTTAGTGAACTAGAGTAATGGTTAGAAACGAAAAATCGAGGAATTAATGCTGGTGTTTTGTCTAGAGGTGTGAGAATTTTTCACACTATCGTAATTTTTGTTGTTAGATATCAAGAGTTTATTATATCGACCTAAAGATATTAGTGAATGACGTACACAAATATGTGTCGCCTAGTGTGTGGTGGCGGAAAAAGTATTCGAGCTACACATATGCGGTATTACATACGGATATGTTGGGAATAAAGGGTTGAGAAAAATGTATTGTATTGAGCTCTTTATTGACCAGGTGATCATGCTCTGATAAACCCCTGAGTACTCTCTAAATGCAACTTACATGCCACAAAACAGTTACTCAAGGAACTGGATATGATTTTGGAAACGGTCAGACTTTCAGGTAGCATCTACAGGAATCCCTCCGGCAACCTTTCTATGCTCTCTGCGAGACGAAAAACGTAAATGTCAGCAACGTTTATGGTTGAACAAAAACTTTACAGCTAAAACAAATTACGAAAATAGAAAACGATGCACGTTTTGTGTGTTTTATTATAATTTCTATTCATTATATCAAAATTATAAAATCAATGGCCTTGGGTTACTCTTTTCACAAGATGTACAATTTTTGTCCGAAAAAAGCCAAAAATCCCTTTTTAACACAATTTTAAAGCGGTGCATGTAAAAATTGTGAATGGCATTCTTTGGACATGTGTCAAAGGTATCGCAATATCGAATTCAGGTCATTGGGATTTAATATTAGGGCACAGGAGCCAAAAATGTAATCTTTTGTCGAAAATAGCAAAAAATCCATAGTTTTCACAATGCTAAAGTGGTGTATGTCGAAGCTTGAATGAGGTTTTGGAGACATATGTCCAAGGTATGCCAATGCCAAATTTCAGGTCATTTGTTTTTAGTACCAGAGCTCCAGATGCCAAAATGTATATTTTTTACCTGAAAATGGCCAACAAACAACAAATAAAAAATTTTGCCAAAATAAAACAAAAGTCTAAGGCGTATTTTGCTACTCTACCTTCTTGCCAAATTTCATGTCATTTGGCCCGAAAATATAGAAATTGATTCATTTAACGAAATGGAAGGAGAAACATGAAAGATAGCAATATGTTTCAATATGTTTGAGACTCATGCATACCTAAATTTGGTATGCATGGGAGATCATAGAATGTTATTTATGCTTTTGGCGTGTGTCACTTAAAAAGATGTAAAATTGGCTTTTTTTTGCATTTTTGACCCCAAATGTCCGTTTTTTTACTCCTGTGCACTAATACAAAAACCAAATAACCTGAAATTCAGCATAAGGGTAGCTTGGCACCAAATACTTAGACTATAGTGTTCACTCACTATTCAGATTCAGCCCTTTCAAATACGTTTATTTACCTTACTTTCAGTTAAAACAGCGATTGTAGCTTGAAAATCCAAATTCCCAAACAGTTCTAAATAGAACAATGCTTCTAGAACACTGTTTCTACATGTTCCAACAAAGGCATTGGAAGATTCCATTGCTGCATGGGGACTATTGGAACACTTCAAATTTTAGACAGAGCTGATTTAGAAACAATCCATTTGTGTGGGAGGGGGATAGATCCATTTCTGGTACGGGGGATGTGGTGAAACCATTTGCTGCATTTGCTCCCGAGAAAATGTCGGCCTTTCTAGTATTGTAATGATATCCATATCAATAACACATTCCCCACGTTTCGGCGAGATGACATGCCTGCAAAACTCGTTTAAACCTGGAAGCAAGGAGAGTCTAACATGCCCCATTGACGGCTCAAAATGATTAAATTGTTTTCCGAACAATCCTGTTTTATGGGTTTTTTGAAGAATGCCTTCGATTTTGAATTATGGGTAATTGAGTGCGAAAAAAGCAAAAACATTCAATTTTGTTCACCTATATTTTATTTGTCGACAAGAATTATATTTAAAGTCAGAAATTGAAAAATCCCTAAAACACGATATTTTAATCTTATTTCTAGTCGTCGAATATATATATATTCGGGTAATATATGTAGCCAAACCTCAACGACGTTTGGCTTTAATATGGCGCTCCGAAATCCCGAAAATAACCGTCTTTACGAGCGAAATTTAATCCATTACCCATTTTACGAAACAAGATAATAGTCGATGTATGTGAAGACGAGTAAACACTAAATGATTTAGCAGAGTGACGTACATGTTCGTACCGCCCAGTGCTATCTCTGTGAAGGAGTGGGGTAAACACTAAATGATTTAGCAGAGTGACGTACATGTTCGTACCACCCAGTGCTATCTCTGTGAGGGAGCGGAGTAAACACTAAATGATTCAGCAGTGTGACGTGTTTGTACCACCCGGTCTTTATCCCAGAGTTGCATCAAACACGGCGTGTTGGGCGGCGCTGAGAGGAAGGCAGCTGCAGCGCACGGTGAGTTATCGTTATCAGCATGACCAGCTTATTGTTCTTAGCAATACACTGTAATGATATCAGCTAAATAGCTGGGCCGTGATATTTTAGGAGCTGCCACTCCAATTCGACCGGATTAAGCTCTATATATTATCTAGAATTGCGTATTAGCGTCGAAAGTGGTTAGGATGCCAGGTCACAAGTTCTATTAGGCAAGACGTTGTCGCCATGGGAAAGGCAGTTGACTAGACTTTCCTCTCTCAACCCGTGTAAAATATGGATACCCAAAATCGGCAAGATGTAAAAAGGCACTGGAGGATTAGGGATGGGCTCCGCCTTCAAATACCGTACCCTAGACACAGTGGATATACAACCCACTGCCCCGACAGCCTTACAAAAAAGCTGTAGGACCACTATTACCTTTTAGCATTAGGCATGGTTCTGATTAGTCCCCGCGTATCTTAGAATGTAGATTTGCCCCAGGCAAGGTTTTCAGTCTGCATGGCTTCTAGTCTGTATATGGCAACTCTTTTTAAGCACCATGTTATCTAATAAGGCTGGAGTGCTAGCTGACATTAACTACTTTAGGGGGTTAACTTTTCATAAACTTCCAGAAGACTTCGACCAATCAGACGTCCCCGTTTCATATTGGTTAAGACTTACTTACTTACTTACTCAGTATTTACTTACTTATCCTCTTCATTCCTTGCGAGGCCATGGCTTTTCCCTTCCATCTGGGCCTGTCCTAGGCCAGCTTCTTCGCTGATCTTCAGGATAGGCCAATGGACGCCAGGTCATCCGCCACAGAGTGGCGGCAGTGTGTAATTGTATTTCCTAGAAGTAGATTTTGACTCTATACTAGGCGCGTGGGACGTGGTCTAAATACTACTATTTAAGCGTTTGTGATTAATTGAAAATCACCCGGATGGAGGCCAGCTGAACCCCCGTCTTGCCTTAGCCACAAGGTGATCATCACCTCTCTCTATACACGCGAGCTGTAGCGAAGTCCCATTGCACAAGTATGCAATGTGGCTACTAGAAGCAAGGATAATGTTTTCACCTCTGTTGACGACGATTGACGACGACGATTTCCTAAATTTACCTCATAGACAGTCCCGTTTGCTGCGCTCACGCGATCGAACAATCAGCGGTCATACAAAATGACCATGTCTTATGACACCATATGCGATCTCGGGGCCTCCCAGTAACCCTTAATTCTTTTATCAATTAGTACATAGCCAGATGGGACTTTAAAAAGTGGGATTTTCATTGTTTATTCCGCATATCATTATTTTTTGGGCACTGCGTTTGTTAGTTCCGCGACCCATGTCAAGTGCCCCATCCCCTTCTACCCATGATACCCGAATGTCTTAACAACTGACATCCTGAGAACGTGGTATGTGCGAGACTGTCCGTCATTCTTCTAACCCTTTGGAACGAAGGGTAAATACTAGATGATTTAGCAGTATGGCGCGTTCGTACCACCCAGTTCTATCTCTGTGAGGAAGTGGAGTAAACACTAAATGATTTAGCAGAGTGACGTACATGTTCGTACCACCCAGTGCTATCTCTGTGAAGGAGCGGAGTAAACACTAAATGATTTAGCAGAGTGACGTGCATGTTCGTACCACCCAGCAGTGCTATCTCTGTGAAGGAGCGGAGTAAACACTAAATGATTCAGCAGAGTGACGTACATGTTCGTACCACCCAGTGCTATCTCTGTGAAGGAACGGAGTAAACACTAAATGATTTAGCAGAGTGACGTACATGTTCGTACCACCCAGTGCTATCTCTGTGAAGGAGCGGAGTAAACACTAAATGTATTCAGCAGAGTGACGTTGCATGTACCACCCGGTTTTATCCCAGAGTTGCATCAAACACGGCGTGTTGGGTGGTGCTGGAGAGGGAAGGCAGCTGCAGCGCACGGGTGAGTTATCGTTATCAGCATGACCAGCTTATTGTTCTTAGCAATACACTGTAATGATATCAGCTAAATAGCTGGGCCGTGATATTTTAGGAGCTGCCACTCCAATTCGACCGGATTAAGCTCTATATATTATCTAGAATTGCGTATTAGCGTCGAAAGTGGTTAGGATGCCAGGTCACAAGTTCTATTAGGCAAGACGTTGTCGCCATGGGAAAGGCAGTTGACTAGACTTTCCTCTCTCAACCCGTGTAAAATATGGATACCCAAAATCGGCAAGATGTAAAAAGGCACTGGAGGATTAGGGATGGGCTCCGCCTTCAAATACCGTACCCTAGACACAGTGGATATACAACCCACTGCCCCGACAGCCTTACAAAAAAGCTGTAGGACCACTATTACCTTTTAGCATTAGGCATGGTTCTGATTAGTCCCCGCGTATCTTAGAATGTAGATTTGCCCCAGGCAAGGTTTTCAGTCTGCATGGCTTCTAGTCTGTATATGGCAACTCTTTTTAAGCACCATGTTATCTAATAAGGCTGGAGTGCTAGCTGACATTAACTACTTTAGGGGGTTAACTTTTCATAAACTTCCAGAAGACTTCGACCAATCAGACGTCCCCGTTTCATATTGGTTAAGACTTACTTACTTACTTACTCAGTATTTACTTACTTATCCTCTTCATTCCTTGCGAGGCCATGGCTTTTCCCTTCCATCTGGGCCTGTCCTAGGCCAGCTTCTTCGCTGATCTTCAGGATAGGCCAATGGACGCCAGGTCATCCGCCACAGAGTGGCGGCAGTGTGTAATTGTATTTCCTAGAAGTAGATTTTGACTCTATACTAGGCGCGTGGGACGTGGTCTAAATACTACTATTTAAGCGTTTGTGATTAATTGAAAATCACCCGGATGGAGGCCAGCTGAACCCCCGTCTTGCCTTAGCCACAAGGTGATCATCACCTCTCTCTATACACGCGAGCTGTAGCGAAGTCCCATTGCACAAGTATGCAATGTGGCTACTAGAAGCAAGGATAATGTTTTCACCTCTGTTGACGACGATTGACGACGACGATTTCCTAAATTTACCTCATAGACAGTCCCGTTTGCTGCGCTCACGCGATCGAACAATCAGCGGTCATACAAAATGACCATGTCTTATGACACCATATGCGATCTCGGGGCCTCCCAGTAACCCTTAATTCTTTTATCAATTAGTACATAGCCAGATGGGACTTTAAAAAGTGGGATTTTCATTGTTTATTCCGCATATCATTATTTTTTGGGCACTGCGTTTGTTAGTTCCGCGACCCATGTCAAGTGCCCCATCCCCTTCTACCCATGATACCCGAATGTCTTAACAACTGACATCCTGAGAACGTGGTATGTGCGAGACTGTCCGTCATTCTTCTAACCCTTTGGAACGAAGGGTAAATACTAAATGATTTAGCAGTATGGCGCGTTCGTACCACCCAGTGCTATCTCTGTGAAGGAGCGGAGTAAACACTAAATGAGTCAGCAGTGTGACGTACATGTTCGTACCACCCAGTGATATCTCTGTGAAGGAGCGGAGTAAACACTAAATGAGTTAGCAGAGTGACGTACATGTTCGTACCACCCAGTTCTATATCTGTAAAGGAGCGGAGTAAATACTAAATGATTCAGCAGAGTGACGTGCATGTTCGTACCACCCAGTGCTATCTCTGTGAGGAAGCGGAGTAAATACTAAATGATTTAGCAGAGTGACGTACATGTTCGTACCACCCAGTGCTGTCTCTGTGAGGGAGCGGAGTAAACACTAAATGATTCAGCAGTGTGACGTGTTTGTACCACCCGGTCTTTATCCCAGAGTTGCATCAAACACGGCGTGTTGGGTGGCGCTGAGAGGAAGGCAGCTGCAGCGCACGGTGAGTTTATGTTATCAGCATCACCAGCGTATTGTTTTTAGCAATACACAGCTGAACAGCTGAACCATGATATTTAAGGATCTGCCACTCCAATTCGACCGGATTAAGCTTTCTATGTTGTATCTAGAATCAGGCATTGCGCATTAGCGTCCAATGGCCGAGTGTTTGGGAGACCAAATTAGTGTAATTTTTAATTTTAATAATATAAAGTAACTTAAAATGTATCTGTCCTCTTGTACATGCTGAAAAGGTGTTCTTGAAGTTAACCATCAACTGACATGACTCTTCTTTCGAATATCATCTGCTTACATTCCGTGCATGGGAGAATGTCATATACACCGCCCCACTTAGAAATCTGACTGATATCTCTCACATTTCTCTCCGGATCCAGGTCAGCTTCCTGTCCACACTGCTTTCCCAGTTGTCCCATGATCCCTGCTGTTTCAGCCCGACTGCACTTTATTGCTTCCCTCTTTTCTTCCTCCATTCTTTTGAGCTTTTCCGTTACAAGCTGCTTCCTATCTCTCTGGATCGATGGGTCTCTCCCATCTCTGGGTTTTCTCAGGCCACCCCTTCCTTACTGCACTGCTCAAGTATGTTTCTATGCTTAAGCTTGCGGACATCTTGGTTTATTACTTGTTCCGGGTTCCACTGTACCCTATTTTCTAGAGCTCTACTGTATGCTATCTTGACTGTCTTGGCAATTACAGTTGAAGGCCATTTGCACTTTGTCCAGCTGGTATTCATCAGTCTGTAGCTTGGTAATAGAAATAATTGGAAGAGTCAAATTATTTCTTCCAGCTAATTATTAAAGCAATCCTCGACAGACATCGACCCCCATCCATTTCCTCACAAACAACAAATGAGTTGGTTTTTCCCTTAACTTGGTCAGGTCAGCTGTTTAGAGGGGTATCTCAAACATCCTTATTGGTCAGTTTAGTCTTGGTATCAGGACATATTAGATCTGCAGACACCAAACTTTCAGCTTGCCAGGTAGCCCGCATCTGTCTATCGACCACATGCCTTCCATTCCTGCTCTCTCTAAATGCACTTATGATAGATAACAAGCTATGTATTTAATAACGTGTTTTGTTTTAATTTAGATGCACAGCCATAGTGCCTGACGAGGCAGGCATCATGACATCAGGTCAAGCTATGTTTAGGGTTGGGACATTCCTGATCAGAACAACATTGATACTTGCTAACCTGCCAGCACAAACCAAGGGATATGGTAAGAACTGTTGAACTGTAAGATGAGGAATAACGAATATCATATTGGGTAGATAACAGTTCCGTGAGTTTGGTGCATTTCTATATAGAATAATTTCCTTGACATCAAATATGATTTGCTTAGCGGATGTGATAGCAACATTTCATATTTAATTTTTTTTTATTCTTGTAAGGTATTATAATGAGTTAATTAATGTTTTATACAATCAGAACATGTGGAGAGATTCAGAGCTAATACGAGTAGACCGGAAAAAAGGGCAAAAAAGTCATCTATGAAATCAAGAACGATGTATACTAACTAAGCATTCCGATAAGGCCCTTTGTCTCTGGATGGTAATGCATAACATTACGTCGAGCGAAGTTCGGGCAAAGATTGCTTAAAAAGTGGCAGATGAAATCATATTTGTTTTGTAGAAGAATAAGTTTGTAGAAAAAAAAACTCATGTCATAATTAATATGCCGGATGTGTCAACATAAACACCATTGAAATCAACATGTGAACTTGCAGGTAAATAAAGTGAAGACAGGGGATTTTGACAATTCTTACAAATTCGTAGTGCTGTCAGGTCAATACATTGACTTTTACGGGAACTAGCACGAACATTTGCAATAGCATGAGATGAAGATATGTGTGATTAATTTCTCTCAATTGTCTTTCGTTTCGTTAATGAGATTTTATGACATAATTTTAATAATGAGGTTCTCTTTTCCTTAGTGACACCGGCAAGTCCCACTGGGTGCGGGGGAAACTTAACGGCACCTTCTGGAGGTCCTATAACATCCCCGAACTACCCTAGTCCCTATGGCAACAACGAAAACTGTGAGTGGTTAATCACCGTCCCAGCAGGAAATACGATAGTCCTCATGTTTAAAAGGGGTCAACAACTTGAGGAAGGAAGCGACTTTTTGAGCATATACGATGGGGCCAGTGATAGCGCTGTGGAGTTACACAGGTAATTTACCAACAAAATTTATCGTCGACTAACACACGCTTTTACGGTATTTTTTCTCCCTGTAATATCTTCCATCAATCCGGCCTTGCATGAATATACAGTCGTATTTAAACAAGTCAGTTAGATAAACTTAGTACAGACAATGCGTGAGGTGTTTGGATTTTGACACTCTTGTAGTGCAAGATGACTTGAAATTCCCAAATCAACAAAAATCTGTAGTGGATGCTGCAAAGACCTACATGTATGTGTCCTTTATATATTTTATAAATTTAGGGTATTGTTAATGGCCTTGTTAACATAAAAAAATCTAACGTCAGATTATGTCAGCTGATCCAACATCAAACGACTAAAACTAAAACCACTAAATTTATGTTCCTTTCTGCAAATGATTATTGATAGTTCTCAATTTTTTCAAAGGCTATACAATTGTCACTCACTCTTTGTATTATGTTACGTATTGATTATGTTACGTGCTTACAGGTTTTATAAATTTAGATCATGTACAGGACGATTAGGTTTTTTAACTGTGGCGACCTGAAATTTGGCTCTGAAGGTAGTGTCAAGCATTGATTGTTCAATGAAACAAAATCAGTTTAGCAACTCGTACAACAACATGTCCTGGAAGGCTGCTTTTCTGGGAAATAAGCTTGCAAATCAAACAACAAATTTAACGTGTTCATTGATTTCTAGGATAACAGGTCGAGATTCTGTCATAAATGTTCCCAGCACATCTAACACGATGTTCCTGAGATTTACATCTGACAAGGATTTACCACAAAGAGGGTTCAAGTTCGACTACATAAGTCGAACACTTAACGACTCTGCTCAAAGTAAGCCATTTTTGCCTTTTAGAATGAATGTATTTCGATTAAGTGTTCTGAGCAACAAAGTTTCAACAATTTTGTTTCGGATTGTTTACAGTATTTTTTACCAAAAAATGTACATTTTGGCACCAATGCCCTGTTTTAAAACCAATTGACCTTAAATGATATCAAGGTGTCTAGAACAAATAAAAGGTATCGTTTTTTCACTCTTGTTATGAATAAAGTTTCTCTGCTTATTTGTTATTCTATGAAAATTTATGATGCCTCTCTAATTTTGATAATTACGCAAACAACAAAAATCATTCTCAAACGTTTTTCACTTTGAAATTACGACAAGCGATCGCGAAATGAAAGAATAACAAACACGTAAAATTTTGTGACGACCTAATCTATTAAGTTCTTACGATATCCCGTATGACGGTATAGCATAAATAGAAATTGGATTCATCTGTTGGCGCTTTCTCCGATTCAAAACATTGTATCACGACCCAAAGTTTCATGTAATTAAAAATAATTTACCGTGGTGAAAATGAATGAATTATTCCAGATATTTCACCCATAGAAAACAACGGTGCAGACATAGAAACACAAACTATACATGCAGCATCTTATATACATTTTAAACAAAAGAATCAATTTCTGTACTGACAATCTGACCTCAGAAGAATGCTGTTGTTGGTGTTGTTTAGCCTATCAAAAAATAAAGGGGTAGCATAATTTTCTGCGTCTGGTATTAAATGTGTCAGTAGTTTGGTGAACAAACATATTACTTGCACTGCAACATCTTGGAAACTTAAGAAATATCCGAAAACAATATCTGACTTAGCTTTACAAGGTACAGTTAAAATATGTGGATACTATATCTTGGCATCTTTTTAAAAACTTAAGTGACGATGAGTGTGTTCGAGCTGAAATAAGACGTTTGTATCGCTATACCAATTGTATAAATAGGAAATTTTACTACAGTAACTGTTCTTCAATAAGTCACATTTCAACGGTATATGTGTTGTATGTCACAAATCCTTTATAGGTTACGAGAATATCTTTACTCGTAATATGCATATCCTTATAATTATATATACATTCATCTGCATATTAATAATCAATATTAAATCAATACATTCTTACCTATTTTTTTTACATCTAGATGAATGTGGTGGCTACAGATCAGGGCAATCTGGGGAGATTTTATCCCCAAACCATCCTGGATCCTACGACAACAACCTGGTCTGTACGTGGACAATAGTGGTCAACCCAAGAGGATATATAAGGCTTAAACCTAAGATTTTTATCCTTGAAAGACAGCGTGACTACTTAAGAGTCTACGACGGTGGTCTTGGATTCAACGGCATACTACTAGGAAGTTACACTGGTATGATTTGTAACAGTTACAATGCATGGTTATATTTTTTTTACTTAGGCTTCAAAACGTACTTGAGCTGCTGAATGGTAATAAAAAAAATCATATTTATTAAAGGCATCCAATGCAATTTCAGGACAGCAAATCTAGATATATTCTGAATAAGGCAATCTTTGTGCTGTTGACACATACTGCTTCACATTAGCATATTTGAGTCAGCATTTCATACTTTGGGCACTTAAAACTGCAGAAACCAGCCCCAAGGCGAGTCCTTTCTTTTCTGGGTGGTATCCTAAAAAATAGCCCAGATCCCTTCCACTGACCATTTTCAGTCAGAATGTTGGGAATTTTTTGCTCCATGAGGGTCAATATACATCGGGATAGTGTGGTTTCAACTTAGTATGTAGATAAAGGACTAGAATATTGGTTTTGAAAAATTGGGTTTTCAAGCCCTAAAAACTGCATTGGATGCCTTTAAATTATCATGAAAGTTCACGGTTCACCTGTATTGGTAGTAACCGTTGTAAGTAACACAGCGAGTAAGTGAGATAAAATTGTCAATGACTACTATCGCCTTTTTCGGATGTGTTGAGAAACTTCTAGAGAAGAGAAGTGTGGCGTGCGTGGTGTACTTTACTTTATTGGGACATATCACGGGTCTAAACCGGTAGTACATGACCAACAAGTACAGACGTTATACCAACATGAAATCTAAGAAATCTAACTGTAAAGCACAAGACGCTCCTTGCGGACTGGATTCTTGAACAGGAACGCAGCTCGTTATCGTTGGACGTTTGAAACACATCTACATCCACATCGAATTATCGGACCATACCGTCTCATAGGACAAAGTTAGAATACTGGTCATTGAGCAGAACTACGTTCTAAGAGGTATAATGGAGGCCATGTATATCAGGGCACTCCAGCCATCACTTAATAGAGACGGTGGAGGATATAAACTCACTGACACCTTTGATCACTTGCTGACGTCACGTATCCGTAAAGTCTCGTGAGAATAAGGTCACGCAATCCCGGCATGCCTGAAGTTTACGTTCGGAAGTGATTGGTCATTAATTACCCTGATAAAAGCAGCCGTGGTCGTTGAAAATTAGATCTCCCTTACTATATCTGTAGGAATAAAGTTTACTATGTTACCTATGCTTACATGTTTATATTTTTAAAATTTTGTTGTGTATAGAGGACGTCATCCCTGATGAAATCATTTCCGCATCCAACATTATGTCGCTTGTCCTCACAACTGACTTTCATCAGGGCTATACCGGTTTCAAGATTCGCTTTGAAGGTAAAATGATTAAGATATATTTGGCATATTTACAGCATACAATAGCCTAACCTACTTTACTCTTTCCCTGCTGCCACTCTTGATCACAACTTTTTTGCGCTGTCGTAGCATAGTTACGTCCGTATTCGTGACGTTTCGCTGCGGTGAAACGCGTTCATGTAAGAAATACGCAGAAATAGCACATATATAGGCCGCAATATATGGGAGGTACTGTATATATTCGCATGGAACACCGCATATATGGCTACAAACTCGGCACAGACAAAAGCTACATAAAGAATTTTTCGCCTAGTCTTAGGTAGACAAATATGATAAGTGTGACGAATGAAAACGATATACAGCGATTTGATTCATTGATTTGTGTATATACAGTGTACTTTTGACTGTTAACAATAATGGTATATAAAGGTTATATTACACGTTTTTAAAATTGAAACCAATGTAATCAGGAGAATAGTAAGTATATCAAATAAGTATATCAACTGTTTTCTTGAAATTAGAATTATTTTTACCGGAGGGTGAATGCGCGGACCCTGGCTTTCCAAAAAACGGCTACAAGAACGGAGACAACTTCACTGTAGGGTCGGTTGTGACTTTCGGCTGCAATGACGGTTTCACTCTAAGAGGTCGAAGGAACCTCACCTGTCTAACTGCCGGTGTACGTGGCTGGGACACTAATGACTTACCGGTTTGTAAAGGTAAGGTTTATCTTTAAGTTAGTAATTGTGGTTAGTTACTCATGATCCTTATAGCAGGCACATTGCCGCTTACACTACCAATATATTGCGATGTTATTGTTACTATTCGTACTTATCGCGTGGTTTACATTGTACATTGTCGAACACTTAACGACTCTGCTCAAAGTAAGCCATTTTTGCCTTTTAGAATGAATGTATTCCGATTAAGTGTTCTGAGCAACAAAGTTTCAACAATTTTGTTTCGGATTGTTTACAGTATTTTTTACCAAAAAATGTACATTTTGGCACCAATGCCCTGTTTTAAAACCAATTGACCTTAAATGATATCAAGGTGTCTAGAACAAATAAAAGGTATCGTTTTTTCACTCTTGTTATGAATAAAGTTTCTCTGCTTATTTGTTATTCTATAGAAAATTTATGATGCCTCTCTAATTTTGATAATTACGCAAACAACAAAAATCATTCTCAAACGTTTTTCACTTTGAAATTACGACAAGCGATCGCGAAATGAAAGAATAACAAACACGTAAATTTTGTGACGACCTAATCTATTAAGTTCTTACGATATCCCGTATGACGGTATAGCATAAATAGAAATTGGATTCATCTGTTGGCGCTTTCTCCGATTCAAAATATTGTATCACGACCCAAAGTTTCATGTAATTAAAAATAATGATGAAAAATATGAATTATTCCAGATATTTCACCCATAGAAAACAACGGTGCAGACATAGAAACACAAACTATACATGCAGCATCTTATATACATTTTAAACAAAAGAATCAATTTCTGTACTTAAAATCTGCCCTCAGAAGAATGCTGTTGTTGGTGTTGTTTAGCCTATCAAAAAATAAGGGGTAGCATAATTTCTGCGTCTGGTATTAAATGTGTCAGTAGTTTGGTGAACAAACATATTACTTGCACTGCAACATCTTGGAAACTTAAGAAATATCCGAAAACAATATCTGACTTAGCTTTACAAGGTACAGTTAAAATATGTGGATACTATATCTTGGCATCTTTTTAAAAACTTAAGTGACGATGAGTGTGTTCGAGCTGAAATAAGACGTTTGTATCGCTATACCAATTGTATAAATAGGAAATTTTACTACAGTAACTGTTCTTCAATAAGTCACATTTCAACGGTATTATGTTGTATGTCACAAATCCTTTGTAGGTTACGAGAATATCTTTACTCATAATATGCATATCCTTTTAATTATATACATTCATATGCATATAATTAAATCAATACATTCTTACCTATTTTTTACATCTAGATGAATGTGGTGGCTACAGATCAGGGCAATCTGGGGAGATTTTATCCCCAAACCATCCTGGATCCTACGACAACAACCTGGTCTGTACGTGGACAATAGTGGTCAACCCAAGAGGATATATAAGGCTTAAACCTAAGATTTTTATCCTTGAAAGATCGCGTGACTACTTAAGAGTCTACGACGGTGATCTTGGATTCAACGGCACACTACTAGGAAGTTACACTGGTATGATTTGTAACAGTTACAATGCATGGTTATATTTTTTTACTTAGGCTTCAAAACGTACTTGAGCTGCTGAATGGTAATAAAAAAAATCCTATTTATTAAAGGCATCCAATGCGATTTCAGGACAGCAAATCTAGAAATATTCTGAATAAGGCAATCTTTGTGCTGTTGACACATACTGCTTCACATTAGCATATTTGAGTCAGCATTTCATACTTTGGGCACTTAAAACTGCAGAAACCAGCCCCAATGCGAGTCCTTTCTTTTCTGGGTGGTACCCTAAAAATTAGCCCAGAGCCCTTCCACTGACCATTTTCAGTCAGAATGTTGGGAATTTTTGCTCCATGAGGGTCAATATACATCGGGATAGTGTGGTTTCAACTTAGTATGTAGATAAAGGACTAGAATATTGGTTTTGAAAAATTGGGTTTTCAAGCCCTAAAAACTGCATTGGATGCCTTTAAATTATCATGAAAGTTCACGGTTCACCTGTATTGGTAGTAACCGTTGTAAGTAACACAGCGAGTAAGTGAGATAAAATTGTCAATGACTACTATCGCCTTTTTCGGATGTGTTGAGAAACTTCTAGAGAAGAGAAGTGTGGCGTGCGTGGTGTACTTTACTTTATTGGGACATATCACGGGTCTAAACCGGTAGTACATGACCAACAAGTACAGATATTATACCAACATGAAAAAGAAAGAAATGTAACTGTAAAATACAAGACGCTATTTGCGGACTGGATTTTTGAACAGAAACGCATCTCGTTATCGTTGGACGTTTGAAACACATCTACATCCACATCGAATTATCGGACCATACCGTCTCATAGGACAAAGTTAGAATACTGGTCATTGAGCAGAACTACGTTGTAAGAGGTATAAAGGAGGCCATGTATATCAGGGCAATCCAGCCATCACTTAGTAGAGACGCTGGAGGATATAAACTCCCTGACACCTTTGATCACTTGCTGACGTCACTTATCCGTAAAGTCTCGTGAGAATAAGGTCACGCAATCCCGGCATGCCTGAAGTTTACGTTCGGAAGTGATTGGTCATTAATTACCCTGATAAAAGCAGCGGTGGTCGTTGAAAATTAGATCTCCCTTACTATATCTGTAGGAATAAAGTTTACTATGTTACCTTTGCTTACATGTTTATATTTTTTAAATTTTGTTGTGTATAGAGGACGTCATCCCTGATGAAATCATTTCCGCATCCAACATTATGTCGCTTGTCCTCACCACTGACTTTCATCAGGGCTATACCGGTTTTAAGATTCGCTTTGAAGGTAAAATGATTAAGATACATTTGGCATATTTACAGCATACAATAGCCTAACCTACTTCACTCTTTCCCTGCTGCCACTCTTGATCATAACTTTTTTGCGCTGTCGTAGCATAGTTACGTCCGTATCCGTGACGTTTCGCTGCGGTGAAGCTCATTCATGCAAAATACGCAGAAATAGCACATATATAGGCCGCAATATATGGGAGGTACTGTATATATTCGCATGGAACATCGCATATATGGCTACAAACTTGGCACAGACAAAAGCTACATATAGAATTTTTCGCCTAGTCTTAGATAGACAAATATGATAAGTGTAACGAATGAAAACGATATACAGCGATTTGATTCATTGATTTGTGTATATACAGTGTACTTTTGACTGTTACCAATAACGTTTTTAAAATTGAAACCAATGTAATCAGGAGAATAGTAAGTATATCAAATAAGTATATCAACTGTTTTCTTGAAATTAGAATTATTTTTACCGGAGGGAGAATGCGCGGATCCTGGCTTTCCAAAAAACGGCTACAAGGACGGAGACAACTTCGCTGTAGGGTCGGTTGTAACTTTCGGCTGCAATGACGGTTTCACTCTAAGAGGTCGAAGGAACCTCACCTGTCTAAATGCCGGTGTACGTGGCTGGGACACTAATGACTTACCGGTTTGTAAAGGTAAGGTTTATCTTTAAGTTAGTAATTGTGGTTAGTTACTCATGATCCTTATAGCAGGCACATTGCCGCTTACACTACCAATATATTGCGATGTTATTGTTACTATTCGTACTTATCGCGTGGTTTACATTGTACATTTTGTCTCAATTTTGTCATGAACATATGACACTAAAGTAAGTTTGTAAAACACAAGTATACATACAATATCGTCACTTGAGATAATTGTTAATCATGATGACTGAAAAAAAGTCAGCTCAGGAAAAAAAGGATTGCTGTTTTTACTCAAAGTAAGGTAAATAATGATGATGGCCCGCCTCAGCAGTAGCTGATATGCGGTGGAGCGCTAGGTAGGTATGTAGGTAAGGTAAATAAAAGTATTTTGAAGGGCTGAATCTGAATAGCGAACACTATAGTCTTAGCATTTCGTGAATTTCAGGTTATTTGGTTTTTGTATCATCGATGTATAACATTTCTGTGGCATTTGCATTTGTTGCGAATTGAACTTGAGACAAATAACTCTCCATATCCAGCTCTATGTGGTGTCCACATCACCGGGCGACGGTTTGGAGTAGTTTATTCTCCTTTCTATCCCGATGCTTACGGCGGCAGCATGAACTGCACCTGGACCATAGAGGTCGAATCCGGAAGGGTGAAACTCACTCCGGAAATGTTCTCTGTACATAAAGCCTGGCAGACAGCCTGGCAGTCTACGACGGAAACGGCAGCGTTTTGGGAAAGTACACTGGTATGTGCAATGAACACTTCACTGCTTAATGTTCACTTAGAAACACAATAAAGCATTAGAATGATGCCTATACTTTGTGATCAAGTGTTATCATCATAAAGCCAGAAGGCTCCATTTCCCATTGGTTATCAGGTATGGTATGATATTGTAGGATAGATTATCGCCTGCTTCCTTACTTACTCATTCTGTTGTACAATTTCAACAGGGCGCATCTCGAAAATTCCTGAAGTCATTCACTCCACATCAACCAAAATCCGCCTTGTCTTCACCACAGAAAACCGCACGCGTGGTTTCTCATGGGGTTTTAAGATCTACTATGAAGGTAATTGCAGCTGTTGCCGGTTCTAGTTTCATACACCCATGTTTATGTCATGAATATTGTAAATTTGATTTTCTTTATTTTGAGCTATTTTAGGAGACACCAGATGATGGTTCACTACAATGAAAAAAAAGTCCCTGTCTTCATGTTAATGTACATTTGACGTTTCGTGAAACCGCTGAAAAGACTATGCCCGACATGTTTCTTTCAAATAACTCAAATGGCACTTAGAACACTGATAGGTCCCCCAGCCTGTGGGGCCAGTCTGGCTTTCAATTATCAGCACAATCCATAATGGCTCTTTTAAAGTTATCCTAACCACAGATAACCACAAATATACGGAAACACACACAAACAGACACTCAGGCAGAAAAATGTATCAAACGGTTAACATAATTTGGCGAGGGTATGAGGTCGTGGAACTCTTGTTCATTTTTTTATACCCAGCTGAATGTGGGGCCCACATTACCAGAAAAGCTGATGAGAACATTCGTCGTGTTCTAAGTATTTATGCTCCTGATCATTCTGGATACATTTCCTCTCCAAATTACCCTGGTCCATACGGAAACAACATGGAATGCACCTGGACCATTGAGGTCGATTTGGGAAATGGAGTGAAGCTGACGACAGTAGAGTTTTCATTAGAGGAAGGACACGACAAGCTTCTACTCCATAAAGGATACCCAATAACAAACACCACTCTAATGGGAGAATACACAGGTAAGGTATAGATAGGCTTTTCTTTCTGTCAATATTCTGCATATATTTTGACTCAGTTGGCTTTAACTGCACCAAGAAAGATTATTTTTGGACCGGATTATGACAAGATTTTTGACATCCTGGGAACCGGAAAGAGGGTTGTCTTTTGAGGCCCGCCACCTGTACCTCGTAAATAATGAAACTACTTATCGTTTAACTACTAAGATTAAAGAAGATGGTGTACTAGTTAGATAATAACAACATATTTCTTTTGTGTCAAAATTGTATTATTATAATGTCAGGTTAATTTGCTAAAAACGTCTAAGTAGACTATTCCCGTGAAACTCAGACGTATACAATAGGACTTACCTCAAAACGACGTCATATATATATATATCTTGCATCGGGAATCATGCAGCCTTCAAATACGATTGAAATGGACCAACAAAATACAAAGTAAATCAGAGAAAAGATTTACTAGTAGTTCAGGGTTCTAGCTAGCGCGAAGTAGCATAGGGCCCCCTACGCTATAATTTTGACCCCCTACGCTAAATTTTCAATACACCATAGGGGCATTGTGACTGTATTTCTTTGTTAAAAATGCGACGTGAAAAAAATTACTAATCAATGATACATTGTACATTGTACATAGAAATGACATTTTTCCCCTTTGGGTATCCCTCAAATGGCCCCTTTTTTGGCTCAATTTTTTAAAAGCTCCGCCCCATCTCCCCACTCGGTCGCTTTGATCCCTAGTCGTTGCCCACAACTATATTTTTGATGTGCGAAAAATTAATCGTATTACAGATTTGAGTCTATTTCAAATATATTTCATTCTACTATGTGATATCAGCTTTTATAGTTTTACTTACAAAACCATTACGTTTTAACAGGAAGAGGCATTCCACGAGAAATTCTTGTCACATCCAACCTAATCCACCTCGCTCTCATGACTGACAGCTCTTCGACCAATGACGGTTTCGAAATTCATTACCAAGGTAAAGACAGGGATTCATTTATTCATTCAACATTTCAATAATGATTCAGTTGCTGTCCAGTAAAATATATTCAATAATTTCAATATCGGCAGCATATTAGACCATTAGACAATAGTAAGTACGTTTTACGCAGGTTTTACATGACTGCAATCACACTCGTACGTGGACACACATGTAATTTCATATCTTATTCTTTCAACTAGTTCTAAATTCAACAGGGTGATCAGATGAATACTGTGTTTTGTGGGTTTTTTTTTGTAGAAATGTTTTATATGTTCTTAAATTGGGAGTTGTTATTTTTTTAGAATTCAAGTTTGGACTTGTGAAAATGTGATTTTTGCGTGTGTGTAGAAGTGTTTTGAACCATAACATAATATGGAGGTTACTGGAAGAATTTATTATTGAAGATGGGACGCATTTTTTTTTTAAATTCAGTATGGAACAGGGCTCATTACACAAAATTACATGTTTTTGTGGAAAACTTTTCGGACATGCAGCCGTTCTTGACTAGTTGGGACATTTTTTTTCTAAATGGGAATGCTCTATTTTAAACTTTTATGGGGAGGCATATGCCTGAAGTATGTTGCATTTGCTCCTTAGCAAATAGTTTTTTTATTGGTTTTGATATGTACACCGGCTCATTATGTACTTCATTTTTTTCTATTTTTAATCATTATTGTTACTGCCTACTATTACGTTAGGTTAAGTTATTACGTTTGACCGCCTAAGCTATAACGTTTGACTGCCTAAGTTATTACGTTTGACTGCTAAGTTAACGTTTGACTGCCTAAGTTATTACGTATTTATTAAGTCTTCTCGAAACATATATAAGAACAAATCAAATTATTTGTCAACCAGACAAATGTTTTTAAAATTCTGAATTCTCATCATGATCAAGCCAACTAATTATCGTCCTTGGTCATGTGACATTTTTGAAAGACACGACCGATTTTTATACTGTACAAAGGACTTGTAAAAAAAACCTCCAAAATTAGTAATTTAGTAAATTTTAGTAGACGTTATTTTGTCTTCAATCCAGTCCTAAAAGTGCACTTCTACCATTTTCCCTCTGCGACATTAGCGTTCCTTCTGCTGCGACCACCTTGTTATGACCCTGGTGTTCCGGAAAACGGATTTAGAGTTGGAGACAACTTCGATGTGGGGTTCTTTGTTACTTTCGGCTGTAACGACGGCTTCACTTTAAAGGGTCAGGAAAAACTCAACTGCATGTCTGGCTACTATTCGGGCTGGAATGGTCCTCTCCCAACTTGTAAAGGTAGGATTCCATATTTTTGTATTATTGCCACCTGACTCTCAGAGATTTATTGGACCAGGATGTCATTAACAGTTATATGAAACAATTATTCTCATCTTTCCCTAGCGGAATGCGGTGGTTACGAAACAGCAAGCACCAGTTCCCCGGGTGTCATATATTCACCCAACTATCCTGCCCCTTACGGCAACGACATGAACTGCACCTGGACCATAGCCAACCGGCAGGAAGGGATGGGGATGAAAATGACAATAGCAGAGTTCTCTCTGGAGGAAAGCCGTGACAAATTATCAATCTACGCTGGAGACCACGTATCTCATAACGCCTTAGTGGGAGAATACAGCGGTATGATTACTGCATTACTGATTGCCTAATGTCAATGCCCAATGATCAAGACCCTCTCGGGTATAATGTCCAGGGGAGATCTTGGTGCGCGGCTAAGAACGGCCGGTGGTGGAAGTGAATTATTGGCTGTTTAAATACGGAACTTAAACTTTTTATTCTTTTTTATTTGTAAAAAAAAGTACATAATATTCGAAGTAAACTGAAACAGCCAAGATTTATACAGGAAAAAAAACAGAAAGAATACCTCAAACTTTGTCCTGGAACACTTTTGAGACCGCAATACTGCCATGTCCTTCATAGTCATGAATCATTGTGACCATCCTGCGACCAACTTGTGCCGATTCACAAATAAGAATTTTGGCCTAAAAGGACAATTTGGAGGTCAATCTACCCTGTAAATGTGATTCTTGACAGCTCATTTCTTAGATGTTTACCATATACAATGAGGTTTAAAATCTAACCTCCTTGTCATATATTTCTTGAAATGGTGGTTTGTGCCCTATCAGTCTGCCGGCAGCCCGCACTAAGAGACTTAGAACCTCTTTGTGCAGTACGGCTTTGGAAAATCAAACAGAAACGTTAAAAAACGATAACATTTCTGATGTATTTGTTATTGTTAGAATCGATTTTTTTTCCGGATAATGTGTAGGTTTTATACTGTCTCTGTAAATTGTATAATCGAAGCTGGTAAGTGTGACGTCGAAGGGCGGTTATACCGTCTATACAGATACAGATACAAGATATATTGTATTTGGGGCGCTATTCGGGATAACCAGGCCGAAACAATATCCTGCAAGTAGCTTGTCCAACTTCCTCACTATCATCATTATCGCCACTTGTCGTCATTTCTTTCATTTGTTATTTGTCAGGACCTCCGGACGGAGTGTTGTGAGTAGCCGTCGCAGTTAAAACACTGGGTTCTCTTTGTGTAATCGGCACGCAATTTTATACGCCGTCTGCGGGCATGCCCGTGTTGATGCACGAATGTGTATTTTTGCCGTTGCTGTTTTAGCGGTCAATGTAATATTGCAGATGCACCCCTAAAATTTTGAGGCAAATTGGAATGGTCCAGAAAAACCCGTTGTTTGGAATAGCGGTGGGGGGTGGAACTTCATGCAGACGTGCGGAGGGGTCGATATGTGGTACCAAACGTGTTCGCAGCCAAAACGCATTCTTTCGTACGTAGCATTTCTGTGTAATTTGGCATGTGGTGTGCCATTATGTCCGCGGTGATGCACGTCTTTTTATTTTTACCATAGCTATTTTGATATTGGAGTAAATGCTTATTTTTGAAACATCCCCGCAATGTCGTTGAGATGTTTTGGCCCGGGTATGTGACCGGCGGTAGTAACACTCGCGGTGCTGGCTGCAACTGTTGCTAATTAATATTGCCGACTGGTTTTTGGCCAAGCCAGTCGCGCTTTACTGATAAAGGGCCATAAAGTGCAACTGTTGGCCATTATGTAACTGTTTAATATTTATCGGGCAACTGTTTCAGATTATTTGCTTATGATAAGTATTCCTTATTTAAGTGATATAACAGGAACGGTAAGACGGTGGGGCTGTAGGTCTGGCGTTGACGCTTGGAGTTATTTTTATTGCAAAACATAAGACTTCACGGAGGATTGTCACCTATGGCTTCTTGTTGTATCTTGCTAATATCTTAATGTAAAATTAATAAAATAACGTACCTTCCAAGGCATTGCCTGCAAATAGTGCAGTGTTTATTTACTGTTTCCTCATTTATTTACAAAATGTTATAATGTAATGCTCTTTATTAATAGGCAAAGATATTCCTGAAGAAGTGATCTCCACATCAAAAACGATTCACCTAGTCCTGACTACAGACGGATCAATTAGCGAGGATGGTTTCAAGATCCATTTTCAGGGTAATTATAATCCTTACTGGAGTTACTTGAGAAGGTTACTAACTTTTGTTTACATTGCAGATTCACAGCATGGTACATTGTGATATAAATTATTCCATCTAGCATAAATGGTATTCATTAATATAATTATTTTGCCAAAAATGTGGTTCATTGTGTGGCAAAACTACATAACTCCACAAGCTTTAGGTGAATTTGAATGAAACTGGTCCATGGTTGGGTGTGGTAAATTTGATTGAAACATGAATTGGCAATACTCAAGATATATGTGGGTCGCTGCATGTCCTCTGTTTACAGGTAACATCGCTGTGTGTCCTCTATTTACAGGTAAAATACCATATAATTTGTGTATCAATTTTCAATTTTACAATTCAGCTCCAATTGGCATATTTCAATTGTTACTCTTCTCGCCTATCTAGACCGGGCTTTTTTGGGACTTGGTGGGACGGGGGTCAGAACTCGCGAACTGTATGTCCTATGACCCCCAAATTTTCAGAGGATGGCGTACTAGTAATATTTTATCACAACTACACTTTTTATGTCGTTATGACGTATTATGACCTCATACATATCTAAGCTATCCGCCATCTTGAATCATCAATCTTGAATTTTCAAAAATGTTTTTTTCAGGATAAAACCTAAAATACATTGATATGGTCCGCCATCTTTGATTTTGACCAATGACGTCATCAAATTATGCATTGTTAATGATAAATTGACATAAAATTATATGGAATGTTATCAATATTAGAATATGTGTAAGTTGACATAAAACCCATAAAATTCTATTGTTGAAACGAAAATTACTAAATCTATCCAAAAATACCTGTCAGAAACCCATTGTCATGGGAACACAATAAATTATATTATTCCAATGATACAGAATTGTTGCCAAAAAGTCACCAAGTTTGGCCGTTCTAGCCCTAGCTGTTCAGACGCTATGTGACATCAAAGTTGGTGCGGGCACTTCCCCCCCCCCCTCCTCCCGACTAGATAGGGTTAAACAAATAGATACTGTTTTGCATCAGTTCAATACTACAATGCCATAGAAGACACTTTAAGGCCTTTGATAGGTAACCTTCGCTCATTTACCTACGCTCATACAACATTCCATTCGACAAGCCACCTACATTGTATAGCTTCTTGAGTTATGCTGGCCTAATAATGCTGCTCAGTTAAAACACGCGCCCAGTCAAAGTTTGGCGTTGATACAGGTATTTGACTATAGGTGATTGAAGTTAATATATACCTGCTTGAGACAAAAAGTGAACTAATTTTATGGCACTAGCATTTTATTTGGTGGAAGAGCAGTGTCCTGAACCATACGTTCCGATAAACGGCGTCACGAGCTATGACAGTTTGGCTGTGGGGTCGACTGTGTGGTTTTACTGCGATGTATCTGGATACTTGTACACCGGGTTAAGAGGGCCAGGAAAAATTACATGCATGCCTGGAAAGACGTGGAGCAGCCGTCCTCCAACCTGTAAAGGTATGTAAATTTATCCGTAAATGATTTCATCAGGTTGGTAAACGAATGAATAGCAAAGTTCTTTGATCACAACCATTTATTTTTCACGAGCCGACGTTTCGATGACCGTCTGTCATGTTCATCAGGGCAATTCTGACTGGTTTACCGTGCACTGACTCTAGATGTTACTTGGTGCATAGTGCACAGTATACTGTTACATGGGTCACAGTGCAGTTTTTTACTGTTAACAATGCATTTCCGAATGTAGTACAATTGTGCCAAACATACATGTACTAGGCATTGTTACATCATAGAGACATGCAGTTTCAAATGTAAAGTGTTCCTATAAATAATATACAAAATTGTTAACTAACAATACTGAGCTATCGCAGTCCCAAATAGAAATAATTAGAAGGCTTGTCACACGAATTGTTAGAAATCATAATAGTTACAAACAATAAGAAAAACAAATGTCAGTTATTAAGAATTTGATCCCAAACATGTTTATACCCCCCCCCCTCATTACGGTTCATGACTTGATTGGATTTTCTAATCCATACGGACTCTTTAATCCAACGGATACATCTGTTGTCCTCTCGGTCTATTACCTTGGCCCCGTCTCCGTTGCCCTGATGAAGATGACAGACGGTCATCGAAACGTCGGCTTGTGAAAAATAAATGGTACGGAAATTTACTAATGGACCATATTGTTTGTGCAATACAGATCTAAATGCCGAATAGATGCGTTGAGTATCCAATTACAGGGTTGTGCAGCACTCAATGACAAATCCTAAAAGTTCCTAAGCGATATCAAGATTTTGAATTGGCCGACGCCGAATTCAAACTGTCAATGAAAGTTGAACAACGTTTGATGCTAGTGTATCACTCTCGCCATTTACATACAGATATGAAAAGGTGTGATAGAGAACGTTTGTACGTGGAAGAGGGAGAAATCAGATCACCAGGAGAATTAGTAGCCTTACCCTATCTTTATCGTTACCCACACAACATGGATTGCAGGTACTCCATTCAAAACAGCTTACCTTAAACTGCGATTCACTGGCAAAGTTATTTAACTAAACAATAACAATCATTCGACTAAATGCGGTGAAATACAGATAACGAATTCTATCTATGTATCGTTATGGCAAGGAATATTGGAAGCTGCTTTTTCTCGAAGCTACATACCGTACGGTTTTACCTACTGAAATTAATATATTTCTTTAAAATCATTTGTATTCTGAACTCAGCTGGACAATCTCGGTAGATCCTTCTTCGGTTGTGGTGTTGGAATTCCGACATTTTTACATCGAGTATGACGGAAGGTGTAGAAGTGACTGGCTTCGAGTAGTTTACTTTTATAACAAAGGTAAGTTTGACAGTATATATGTATAGTTTGATTAATCTATGAGGGACAGTTGGATATGATTAGTGTGAATGATTTCTGCTCATTATCATAATCAATGCCTATCACACAAGATGACTCCAAGCAGCCATGTTGATGACCTTTGACCCGAAGTCCATAGCCAACTAGGTCTAGGGTAACAATCTTTGAGTTTCCTGATTCAACTTGTTGCTGTTATTCAAAGGGCAACATCAAACTCAAGCAAACTTATTACCTGGAGGAAATATTGAGGACAACAAAAGACTCACATGTTAAAAATGCTGGGGTCAGTTTTGACCCCGCTGGACCGGGCATAAACTTTCTGGGATAACTCAATCAATAATGAGCAAATCACAGTAAAAACGAATGAGAAGTCATAAGCCACATATACAAACAAACTCATAATAAGAATTTTGTTTTCGACAACAAATGTCGAAATGGCACATATTTATATACGCCTGGGGTCCGTTTTGACCCCATACGATGGTTTGAGGGTTAATTAAGTAAGACGAGTTTACTAATGTTCTGTCTCTGTTTCTTACAGTACGCCAACACTCCCCTGACATATATGGCAAGTCTCTTAAGCAAATCTGTATGAAGGAAACTGTTTAACTGTTAACATGTTTTCCTATTCTGTTCAGAACGGATTGTTCTATTTTTGTGTATTGACTTGTTTAATGATGACTATTTTGTTCTTTCTTTTGTTCTTACATTACAACGAACGACTTGCAATTGTTACACCTAACATCTAACTCTAAACATTTTAAAGCTATGTAATAAAAAGGATTCTGCTATACTTGGTGACAGTGAGTTCCACAACAGTTCTAGGAAAGATTGTTTATGAACACCTCAATCCTTGGTTGATAACTGTGGTACTTGAAGACATGACATGTATGTATTAACAGAAACAGATACGGGTTTGTATGGAAAGGTAATCTCCAACCAGATACAGTTTGACATGGATAGCTGATCTCCAAGCAGATACTGGGTGGAATGAATATGTTTTTCTCCAAACGCATACTTGTGTCGATAGGTAATCTTCAAGAATACTCTAGTAAGTGTTCCTTCAACACTTTATTGGGGGGTTTTGACAGCCCTTTTTACGGAACTGCACTTAATTTGGTTTTTAGGAGCCTTTCTAGACTAGCTATATATCCTTAATCAACCTCCTTTGCTACTTCTTTTTTTTAAAGAATTCAGCCAGGTGTACTGTGGCTGGGTGGACGTGAGCGTGCATGAGTCAATGACATCAACCGTAGAGCTTGACTTTCACAGTAACCACGTGTTTACTTACGAGGGATTTTGGATTCGCTTCTATACGAAGGACAAGCCTGAAAATGGTAGGCCAATAGGATTTCTAAACATTTCCCTAATCAATCTATGGGAAGCACGTAGAAGGGACTACTGCGGCTTTGCGATGCCCAGGACGTAACATGCATATGCTTGGGCCACATTTTCAGGTTCCCGACTGTGCGTAAAAGAGAAACGTTTACGCAAATTGTAAAGATTTGGGGTTTTGTTGTCTTTTGTATCGTACTTCTCGTTCTTTCAAACTTCCCGACCCGACTTTGGACTGGGGCTTTTTTAAAAATAAGATTACAAAGAAATAATGACAAAGTACCGTTGCAATGTGCTATCAGACATGTACTTGAGGAGTTATCGCCTTGTACTTACAAGAGAACCTGTTTTCTGGTTTAAAGTTGAATGGATTCACCATCTGTTAGAAGAGGCTGGCTCATTTCATTCCAAGAACTACCCACATTCGTACAGGAACAACTTGTATCAGGAGTGGAGCATATCACTCGATGTGGGAAAACACATCAGACGTATGTTTACGTACTTTGATGTCCAAGTTACCGAGGAGTGCGACTCCGACTATTTGATTATTGAAGACCCTTTAAGTCTGGATGAAATGCACCACTGTGGTACTTGTATCCCAACACCCTACATCTCCGTAGGACACACTCTTCATGTCTTCGTTGTGACAGACTTTGCCATCTACAGAACCGGCTTTTCAGCAAAATATGAATCAGTGCAGGATAGATCAGGTACGTAAATGTTCTTAACAAACCTTATGAAGTGCTATAATCTGTTATCGAGTATGTGACAAATATTAGCAATAGCATAAACGATGTGGTACATATTAGTGCCAAGGTAATTTACCCTCCTCCCCCGCTCTCCCATTTTCCCGTTTAACCCCCTCATACTGTTTCGTTATTTTGGGGTTCGATGGTGGATTTCTTGGGGGGGGGGGGGTCAAATCACGGGGATTCAGTATATGTTATATAATTGTTCAATTAAAAAATATCCTTGTATTTAAGGTATTTAGAGCACTGGGAAGCATTTCAAAATGTCAACTTTCCAACATTTTGAATTCACTTTGTGTAATTGTTTCCCCCATTTCTAAGATTTGCGGTTGATCAATACATTTCCTTTCATCATGTTAAAGACGTATGTATCGCAATGGATGCCTGATAATTGAAATACAATTCCTTTGTTTTCTTTTCTTAGCTAAGATTAGCAGCGTTAATCCGTGCAATCACAACATCATTTATTACCTTCGCCAAGAAGGTTATGTTTTCAGTAGCGTTTGTCTGTTTGTCTGTGAACAGCATAACTAAAGAAGCTGAGTATGCATTGTCGTGAAACTCGGTAGGTGGGTAGGTCTTGTTGAGACCTAGAAATGATTAGATTTTGGGCCCCCTGTCGGCTTTTGTTGGTACTGCAGCAGAACTTCCGGTTTTGATATCTCGCGATCTGGACATGCTAGGGTCATGAATTTTGGTTGGTAGATAGCTCTTGGGGTAGGAAAGACGTGGCGTGAGTTTGGGCGCCCTAGCGGCTTGTTCTGGAACTGCAGGACCATTTGTTGAAACTTTTCCGAAGGATTATAACTCAAGAACCTGTTAACAGATTGTCGTGATTTTGTATATGTAGGTAGCTGAAGTGATGCTTGACATAATCAAATGAAAATTATGCAAATCAGGAGCTAATTTGAGCTAATGAGGAAATTCTATAAATCTGCTTTGTTTGATAATAGGACTATGAAACACTTGTGACATGTAATTGAGGGTATAGATTATGTAAATGAAGACCTAATTTGCATAATTAATGGGAAACTTTTATAATTTCATAGCTGTAACTGCTGGACATTTCATAATTGCCACACTTGGGAGTTAAGTGAAGGCGAACAGCAATAAACATAATTTATTCAAATCATGACACCATTTGCATAATTTATGAGGAAGTGCTATAATAGCTTTTTTGTTAAGATAAGACTGCCATCGGGTGGAGAATATGATCAACTGATATAATCCATGGAAATGAGGTTCTTATTTGCAAAATCGATTAAAGTTGTATAATTCGTCAGCCGCAAGGGTTAACATCATTTGGCGAAGGTATGAGATCGTGGAACTCTTTTTGTTATTTAATCAGAAACAAATGCACCTTTAAAGAACCTCAAGGTGCCTTTCTAAAACATTAGAATAAAATATGAACAAAGGCTATATTTAAAAGTTTATATCCAAAGAAATGGTACTTTGCTTATTAATCTCCAGGCAATGTGGAGCCATCTGCTTCAGATGTACTCCCGTCTGATTGGCTTACAATCGGTGATAAGATCAAACAAATTAGCGTCAGTACATCTACCAATCAGGTGTGGGCACTGGATATCGACGGAAAACCGTTGCGGAGGACGGGTATTTCACAGTCAACACCACAAGGTGAGAAAATGAAAGGCATTTATAAATCCGAGGCGTTATCAGAATATTGTTGCTCGAAGACATTTACTTGCAAGGTACACGAACACACGCACATTTGTACAATTGGGTAAAAACAATATTCAATCTCAGCAGTGAAAAGAGTTTAGCACAAATTAAAAGCAAATGCAAACCATTTTTTTCTTTCTTATAGCAACAATTTATCGATTTTAGTATTGATATATTTGGTAGTCATTTTAAAAAAGGGAAAATGTTTATACCCTCTGGTTCGTACATTAATCTTTATGGATCATTTGAACTTGGCCCAGGGACTGGATGGGAGGTGGTCGGAACAGAACAGTTTCTGTACATCTCAGTGGGACGTGTTGGGGTGTGGGCAGTCTCTGACGACTCCACTGTAATGTACCGCAAGGGAACATTCAGGTGAGTAATGTAAATGTTAACACACATTTTGTATGATTGAGATTGTAGTAACTCCATAGACAGGAAGTGGCTGTCTGTATTCTCACCTTCGTCATAAGCGTAGGAAGTTTGCCGCAAAATCTTAGGCTGTTTTCTTTATTTTGAGGGGCTTGCTAAAGCATCAAGCTAAGGTAGACGAACTTCATTGCAACACCGTCTACTAAGCATAATTTTGGGGCTTCCTTCTTCGAGTATACCTAAACGTTTGAATTTTGAAATGTTTGTGTGTGTGCGTGTGTGTTTGACAGAATATATTTGACTGTGGACAAACAAAAATAAATAAATAAGTAAAATGATGTTTTACCGCATGTAAACGCTAAAATAAATAAGAAATGGTCATCGACAGGACGCTTAGATAATTGTCCGAGAAACTGTACTGTTGTCAGGGGCGCAGGAACAGCAGGGACGTCCTGGCAGGCAGTTCATATCGACTCCAAAATCACCAGCTCACTCTTCAACTTCAAAACATTCCCAGTAGAAATTGATTGGCGTGGACACAACATAGACCAGATACATTCAGGAAAAGACTTCGTCTGGATCGTTGCCAGTTATCCTCATTTCACATATGGATATACCATAGTGAGAAAAGGTACCTTTAAACTAGCCTCTACTAGGCTTCGGGAGGAGGCCGGAAAGAGTAGAAATCCAAATAGAGACATAGCATGCCAGGGGAGTTGGTCTGCTGGAGAGAACATTTTGCCGCTAAGGGATCTCATTCCAGCCGCCTCCCGAAGCCTGGTAGACGCTACCTTTACACATCTATTATCATAATACACACACTTGGAAAATTTCTGAAGCACAACAGATGTATAAAATTAACTATTAGAAGTTTTTTTAGCTACCGACGTTTGAGTGGACCATATGCCATTCCTCGTGAAAATAATGTGTTTCTATTTTGCACTTCGACTCGGTATCACTGAAGTGGGAAGGATGGGGCTCAAAGCTCAATCACGTCAGTTTCTTGACAAAAAGTACATTTTCGAACTTGACATTCCTGCTCATTGAGCCTACCTACTACCTACTAATATTTTTTATTATCCTTCCACTGTATCGTCAGTTATCCTGCTAACAGAAAACTTACAAAACCGAAAAGCCCACTGCAGTGACGTAGTGAAATGCTATAATGCCAAGTTTCAACAAAACCTTTCTCTTTGTTGACAGTACTTACATACTGAGTTTCATCAGTTGTTGAGTTGAGTTATCCTGCTAACAAAACCGACAAAGGTCACGTAGGAGCCATAGCAGCCCATTTTCTTTAGATATCTGCTAGAAGGCCCATTATAGAACTTAGCCTTCATCTCGGCTACCCATAGTCGTCCACTAAATATCATTAATAAACATCCACATCTTCTTGAGAACATAACTGTACATAGCATGGATAACCATTTCAGAACTTGAACTGTGTTTCCATAAACGCTATGTACCTACCAAATATAATTAAGATCCAATTCACAGCTTTCGTAGTTATGCTGAACACATATAATNATTTGGTAGTACATTTTAAAAAGGGAAATGTTTATACCCTCTGGTTCGTACATTTAATCTTTATGGATCATTTGAACTTGGCCCAGGGACTGGATGGGAGGTGGTCGGAACAGAACAGTTTCTGTACATCTCAGTGGGACGTGTTGGGGTGTGGGCAGTCTCTGACGACTCCACTGTAATGTACCGCAAGGGAACATTCAGGTGAGTAATGTAAATGTTAACACACATTTTGTATGATTGAGATTGTAGTAACTCCATAGACAGGAAGTGGCTGTCTGTATTCTCACCTTCGTCATAAGCGTAGGAAGTTTGCCGCAAAATCTTAGGCTGTTTTCTTTATTTTGAGGGGCTTGCTAAAGCATCAAGCTAAGGTAGACGAACTTCATTGCAACACCGTCTACTAAGCATAATTTTGGGGCTTCCTTCTTCGAGTATACCTAAACGTTTGAATTTTGAAATGTTTGTGTGTGTGCGTGTGTGTTTGACAGAATATATTTGACTGTGGCAAACAAAAATAAATAAATAAATAAAATGATGTTTTACCGCATGTAAACGCTAAAATAAATAAGAAATGGTCATCGACAGGACGCTTAGATAATTGTCCGAGAAACTGTACTGTTTTCAGGGGCGCAGGAACAGCAGGGACGTCCTGGCAGGCAGTTCATATCGACTCCAAAATCACCAGCTCACTCTTCAACTTCAAAACATTCCCAGTAGAAATTGATTGGCGTGGACACAACATAGACCAGATACATTCAGGAAAAGACTTCGTCTGGATCGTTGCCAGTTATCCTCATTTCACATATGGATATACCATAGTGAGAAAAGGTACCTTTAAACTAGCCTCTACCAGGCTTCGGAAGGCGGCCGGAAAGAGTAGAAATCGGCCAAAAAGAGATGCATGCCAGGGGAGTTGGTCTGCTTTAATAGGGAGCTCTTTCCAGCCGCCTCCCGAAGCCTGGTAGACGCTACCTTTACACATCTATTATCATAATAAACCCACTTGGAAAAAGCACAGATGTATAGAATTAATTCTTTAAAGTTTTTTTAGCTACCGACGTTTGAGTGGACCATATGCCATTCCTCGCTATAAAGTGTTTCTATTTTGCACTTCGACTAGCTATCACTGCAGTGGGAAAGATGCGGCTCAACGCTCAATCGCGTCATTTTCTTGACAAAAAGAACATTTTCGAACTTGACCTTCCTGCTCATTGAGCCTACCTACTACCTACTAATATTTCTTATTATCCTTCCACTGTATCTTGAGTTATCCTGCTAACAGAAAACTTACAAAGACCGAAAAAGCCGTCTGCGGTGATGTAGTAAAAGTCTATAATGCCAATTTTGAACTAGACCTTTCTCTTTGTTGACAATACTTACATAGTGAGTTTCGTTAGTTGTTGAGATGAGTTATTCTGCTAACAAAGGTCACGTAGGAGTTCGCCATAGAAGCCCATTTTCTTTAGATATCTGCTAGAAGGCCCATTCTCGAACTTAGCCGTCATATCGGCTACCCATAGTCGTCCACTAAATATCATTAATAAACTTCCACATCTTCTCGAGAACATAACTGTACATGGAAGGATAACCACTTTTGAACTTGAACTGTGTTTCCATAAACGCTATGTACCTACCAAATATCATTAAGATCCATTGACAGCTTTTTGAGTTATGCTGAACACATATAATCAACAAATGCATCAAAAGCCCACTCCAATAAAGCTGGAAAAGCCAGCAGATGAACCATTCTGAACTTGACCTTTGTTTCCACAATAACTACTCACATACCAAATATGAAAAAAATCCATCCACAACTAGTCGACGTATGACGTTGTGGATGGATACATACAGGGAGACAACACAGCCACACCAGCATGGCAAACCCGAAAACATGCCCTTCTGACGAAGGCAATGACGTACCCAATTTTCCTCCATTTCCACAGGTATAACCTCGGATAATCCCGAGGGTACATCCTGGGACTCCGTACAAACAGCGAACATGAAGGAAGTCAGCGTCAGCTCCAGGACCGGGCAGCTGTGGGCAGTCGAGATTGGCGGCAGAGTGTGGCGTTCTCCTTTCTACTGTGAAATCTCTGGTAAGATGATTCTGAAAAGAAAAGAAATACGTTTAACAGTATGTTAGGGCGGTTGGTTCTAGTTCTACTTCATAGCCCGTAAGAGCAATGTGCCCGATGCATGGGACATTCTCGTTTCTGACTGAGTATGGAAGCCAATATACGGTCAATATGCTCATTGACGTCGCATACTTTGAAAAATGTAAACATATTGCGATGTAAAGCGATGGTGAATGCCGTGCAACACTCTCTACTTTATTATATACTTAAGTTATACCTGGTTCTCGTCATTTTCCCAATGCAGTAAAGAGCAACTGGGAAGCAATTGAAGGTTGCTTTTCGTCAGTGTCTGTGGGACGGTCGGGCGTTTGGGCGGTCGACTTTGAAGGCGAGGTGTACCACAGAGCAGGCACATTTCTGAACGAAACCGCCCCCGGCGTGGCATGGCTGCATGTACCCGGAGTACATCTGCAGCAGATCGGTGTGGGGGACAGAACTGTTTGGGGTGTGGACTCCTCGCAGCGTGCATTAGTAAAAGTTCTACCGACATCTGTCGACGGGAAAGTCTGTCAAGTCGGCTTGAAAGGACATTCTATGTGCTACGCCATTCAAGAAGGTCAAAATCAAAATAACTACATGTGATATTAACACATATGGTTCACAACAAAATGCTGCTCAAATAATTATTACATAGTTCGTTCTTACCTGATAACAAACATTTTTCCTGCGTGTATATATATATTACATAATAATGTAATAAATGTTTTCGCTCATTTTCAATATGGTCCAAAATATTATTTTCGTCGTCAGAAAAGCGACTCTGTGCAGAGGACGAAGTCATTTGTCCATACAGCGAGAAATGCATCAAAGAATGCCGCGTGTGTGACGGCATCGTGGACTGTGGGGATGATGACGACACTGACGAGCGGAACTGTTGTAAGTGCAAATTTGAGTCCTGGGTCTCAACTACTATATTATATGAAATATATACAACCCATTATACAAGCATCCCATTTGGTGTGACTAAATATCAGGCCATATGTCAAGGTTGCTAAATAAGCATTATTCGTCTCATTTTGAAAAGAAATAAGGCACACGATCATATCCAAAATCGGACGTTTATTTTTAACATAACGGTAATTTTGTTATACCACGAAGGAAGCTAATAAGTAATAACTCATTAACACAAAGTAGTGTCAGATTCCAAAAAATATTCAAAAAGGCATAAGCAACAGTATATGCATATATATATATATACTTACCTTTTTTTAGATGAAAAGATATTAGTAGATAGATAGATTGATAGGTAGATAGATAGGTAGAAGCATATATAAAAAGACACGTTGAAATAATTCATATAAAACACGCACCCCTCTGTTTTGATTGCAGGGTTTGCCAACTGTCCGGAGAAACATCGGCGAGTGTGTGCCGGAGAAGTGGGCTGCTACAGCCCGACTCGTGTGTGCGACGGAGAGCGGAACTGTGGGGAAATTACTGAGGATGAGCGGGACTGTCCCGGTAGGGTTTTGTTTTCACTCTTTTTAATACGGAGGTTGACAATCATGGCTAAGGCAAGCAGAGATGAAATTGAATTTAACCCCAACAATTGCGCAGTCGTAACAGTGAACCTCTTTACGTACAGTCAACAGATACAGCCATACGACATGACAATTATCAAATAAACTTGAATTTCTTGTTTTTCTGTATTTTGATTATGTTTGTTACAAGATACTTTTCCATGGACATTTGAAGTGCTTTGAAAAAAGGAACTAATTATAGTATTTCCATTATCAAAATAGCTATTTTTTCTAAAATCAACTTGTTAATAAGGAGCTGGTTTATATTTCTTATTTCTGTTTTGCCTCATGTGCACGTGTTTGCAAGTAGTGAAATTAGATGGAACCTTAACAAGAACATAGATTATTTTGTAATATCATATATTTCATAAGTTTAAGTGCATGAGCCAGTGTAATCTTTTGCCTCTGACGCACATTTTTCCGACAGGCGAAGCGTAGACGTGATATATTTTTCGCTGTTCTAAAGTTTAAAACATTAATTTAAGTTACGTTAATGACATGATTTCATAATGTAGTCATGTAATCCAATTTATAGACAGCTGCGTGCACCATTGGAAACGTAATTACCTACTGCAACGAGACGAAATCCAGTGTCGTGATCTGTCAGGCTGTGTGAAGATCACAAAAGTTTGCGATGGCCAGAAAGACTGTGCAGATGGGTCGGACGAGATAAACTGTTGTAAGCCTCTAACGTAAAAATAAACGTTTCTGTTAACGTAAAGCGTTTGTTCCAACATAACAGAAATATTTTCTCACCTAGAGCTCTCGACCAGTCACTCTTTGTATTCCTCAGTAAACTGACCCAGTGAGGATTGTCATGTGGCGTTTCTCAAGTGTGACGTCAAAAGCTCTGGGTCAAAAGGTATCTTGTAGACGATGTCAGCCCCCGTCGCGGTTGATTAAAGGGTAACTACTTAACTGGACCTGATAGCCTATTTCACCATTGCCAGGAAGTAATCTTGTCCGGTATCCAATGCAACAGCTTGTCCAGGGAACTCTAGATAAATGTGTTGTGACACTTCTGACTTGCCTGAATTTAGCGAGATCTTCAGGAACCTTACATTCAAAGACCTTTCCGTTTCCCCCACTGCAGTATTCCTGGTAGAGTTACCTATATGAAAATGTAGGTATTGTTTTTGGTCAGTCTGTGTGTGTCTGTGCGTCTGTGTTTCCGCATACTTTTGGTCAACATAACTTAAGACGGACTTTATGGATTCGATATTCAGTATATGGGTAGTCGCAAGAAGGCGAAGGTCAAGGTCTAATTTGGCCTCCTGGTTGGTGCTGCAACAGAACTTCCGTATTTTCAATTTTTTGTCCTGGACATCCTATGGTCTTATTTTTTTGGTGCCTGATAGCTTTTCATGTCTGGATCAAGTGGTGTGAGTGTGGTTTCCCCTAGCTGCTCGTTTTGGAACTACAGGGGAGTTCCCGCAAATCTTTAAAATCGGATAAATCAAGAAAAGAACAACAAATTAACATGCAGGTACACAATTTACACATTCAGTTAATTATGTAAAACAAGACTTAATATGCATAATTAATGAGAAAATTCACAATTTACTCGTTCAAATCCGGCAAGTGACAGATACAAATACAAATTATTCAAATAACATGCAATTTGCATAATTATTATTCCTTATTGTTAAAAGGATGAGCATTTCATACTTATGTAAGGTTGTTGTGCATATTTTACGTCATGAGGGGGGTCATTTGCATAATTCATGATAAGTTGTTGGAACAAAACCTTGGCAAGGTATATAATCATACATTCATTATAAATATATAAAACATATTTATGAATAAAATTAACCATATGTTATGACTACCTTAACTCATGGTTATGAATAAATTATTGACCGCTGCATAAATGCATAAATTGATCGGGAGTCGCAACCTATACTACTGTCAGCCACTAATACGTATAAGGTCTAAAGTCCCATTCTTTTTACCTTAGACGACTTCTGCTCCCTTCATGGAACATTTGGTGATGCCGCCTACTGGAAGTGCCGTGACTCCCCGGGCTGTGTGAAAGGAGAATTTCTGGGTAACGGCATTTCTGACTGCGCTGATGGGTCGGACGAAGAGAACTGTGGTAAGACTTTTTTCTCCATTTGTTTAGATATCTAGTCTTCAGTCAAATTTCAATCTGCGATTATAATTCAATCACTTTGTTTTTCAAACTGCAGATGAATTATGCAGATCTATAGGGTACTGGCCGTGTAAAATCTCCATCCCGCCGTTCCCGAGGTGTATCAAGGGGTCGGGCAGATGTAACCGAGCAGTAGAGTGCAGGGACTTCTCGGATGAGATCGGCTGCGGTAGATAAACATTTCCCATGTATTTAAGCACACCTTAACACAGGTGTAGCTAGCTCACGCTCTTTCATGTTATTATACATATTCTCCTGAAAGTTGTATTTATATGAGGTATCATTTAGTCCCAAGGGTTAATGGTTGTATTTTCTTATTAGATTACTGTGGACTGCATGAAATGGCTGGCTTCACAAAATGGGACAGAGAAATATTCAAGGAGGGAACTGACATGCTGTACCTACTTCATGAATCATGTATTCCATTTGGCAAAGTTTGTGATGGATATGATGACTGGTATTACCAAGATGAAATCAGCTGTGCCCAAGGTACGTTCAACTACAGAGTGACTAAAATGCATCACAGTTTTCGTATGAAAGATATGAAAGTCATTAATTTACGTTTATTAAAACAATTATGCAATCAATACTTGGGATGTCTTAAAGACACTTTATGTAACGTTTTGACAATACAAAAAGTATATTTTCCAGTCTTTTCTTTACATAGTAAGTTGACTTAACCGTATTCCAGTACAATATTCAGCAATAGAAAATGCGACATACAAGCATGATAGAAATATGAATGATCTTCTATTCAAACCTCTGTCCACACCGCACATATAGTTGGCCACTGCTAGTGGTATGGCCTACCTACCAATTGTCAGTTGCTTACAAGTTGCTGCAAGACCTAACCGTTTACCGGATTTTTTCATCTCTTTTGAACGGATAATGGTCACAGTTTATTGATGACCAACAAAATACACTACGTTCATAATTATATTCCACCCCATGTGAAAGATATGAGTGTTTCAAAAGAAGCTAATCTTGTGACAGGTGCCCCTGCCTATCTACTAAGGCATGCCCAATAAATTAGCCACCCTAGGGCGCCAACCACCGTCTGTTTTTTGTTGTTGTTTTTGTTGTCCTGAGCAAACCGGTGGCACCGTGAACTGAACAAGGACTGTTTGAATGCACAATATATACGCCAAAAATGTGAAATAGCGACACAAATGTGGAAAAGTGATAGTAACTGTTGATAACAACAAAATGTAGTATTATAAGAATTTCATTTTTGCGTAAAGAGTTACATAATGGGCCTTTAAAATTCATAGCACATGTTGAGGGAAAAGATCTCCCTGAAACTAAAGCCATCTCTTTCGATAAATATGATAGTAAAGATACCTGCTGCTGTTTTTATGTTACATTTTTGTTTTACCTTTATATTAGACTTATCTTGTGCAGAATGATTAATACAGAGCCACAAACATCACCTAAATGTCCACAAAACCTGGCTGACATCTGCCCATGTGATTTTATAACAAAGACAGGGTTTCCACCAGTTCGAAAGCCTCGTTCTAAGTAATGGCTGGTTACAAAATCAGTTTATAACGTCTTTGGTGATAATTAACATGACATCGTTCTTTTATACAGGAATGATACATCCAGAGATTTGCAAAAGATGTCCACACTTCGAAAATACCTGTTTGCCCAAAGGCGACGACAGCTACTGTGATACTATGATACAATGCGACAACGGAGAAGATGAAGATAACTGTGGTCAGTATATTGGTCATGACTTACTTCTAGGCTTGTGGTAAGTTTAGAGAATTAAGAATTATATTGCCAATGTGTTAAGGTCAGATTTGACAGCCGTGCCCTGTAATACGGTTACATTGCGCATTTTTCCATCCTCCTGTTTAAGTTAGACATTGACGTGAAAGTGATTGAGCAGATGTCAGTAAGCATAGGGTGACCAAAGTCAAAAATGAAATTTTTGCCCAGTCTACGCTCTTGCCAATTTTCATGTCATTTTGATGAGAAATAGCGAATCCATTTGACCACATGACAGGAGAAAAGATCTTTTACAATTTACAATGGTATAGTCTTTGGGTCTAAGCCATACCTGTACTAGAAATCAACTAATTATATCCGCCTTTTAAGAAGCTATTGCTTACTACAATTATTTTCAAAAAAAAGTTTTTGCACATTTTAGAATTTTATAAAAACGGGCCGTCTTTAAACATCTGCTTCTTCTCACTAGAAAAACATTTTGCTCAAAACTCCAATCAATGTGTTGTTAACAAAATATGATATAGTCAATAAAATAACCAAACGAGGTTTTTGGGATTTTCCTCGTATTTTTGCATGGACATAGACGACAAATGCGAACAACCCGGATGGACGTGTAAATGTGACCAGATCACGGGATGCTACAAGCCGGGTGATATCTGCGATGGTCGGAAGCAGTGTCACTCTCTGGCAGGGAATGACTGCCATGATGACGAACAGCATTGCGGTAATGGTTCCATTTCCCCTACCTACATCATTTCATGCACATGATCAATTTCCTATCATTTGACCAAATATGTTGTCAACTTACAAGCCCAATAAAGTCCTTGTTGAAAGACGTACTAAACACAATATGCAGGGAGATTGAATGTTACTGGGTGCAGGCTGCAGACTCTCACCCAGCATATTCCAACCCTTAAAAATAACAGGCTAAAAAAAACACAGATGGAAGGTCGATCTCTACTTTTAAAACAAAGATGGGGGCAACAACAAGCTTTTACTATGCATCCATCGGACTAAAGCAGAATTTTAAATTGTTTCATACGTATCTCGGTAAAAGATAATCATATATCTTAGCGATGTCTCTGATCTATAAAAGAATATATTGATTTATGTCCAAGTATAGTGACATTGCTCTCGTATAAATCTAACCATATAGAAGAGTATTGCCGTACTTTTGGTGGCTTCGACTGTGGCCCGCCATGGCATCAGTGCATATCTCTACACCGTGTATGTGATGAACATCCTGACTGTAACTACATGGACGATGCAACAATGGAGTTTTACGGTCCTTCTGATGAACAGAATTGTGGTAAGTTTTTTTTTTTAGTATTTTTCTGTACCTTTTGAACACACGCGTTGTACACATCTGTTGCAAAAGCTCCTGTAAAACGATGCTGCATGCACTACAAGAAAGTTTTATTTCAATGGCCATGAAATGGGAGAGACTTTTTACCAATTTTATACCGTTTGTCTATGTATAACAATTGATCCTATAGATGCACATGTAGTTTAATCTGACTTTAAATTTTCGCTCTTAAGTGTATTGCATTTATAAGAATTGTTTAAGTGTTTAATCCGGCAACAAACTATTCACCGTGATGTGCCCTCAATTGCTGGTCTTTGAATAACAACCAAAAAAACGAGACATCTATTTCGTCTTAATTGCAGGAACCTGTGACGGGTATTGGGCTGCTTTGGAAGAGTACAAGGAAAAAAGGAGGGAAGAGGGACTAACGACGTCTGACGAGTACAATTATAAGTGCAACTCAGGAAAATGCGCAACGACATTCAACCTGTGTGATGACCGCGACTTCTGTGGCAACTGGGAGGACGAGCAAGACTGCGGTACGTTTTCTCTGTTTACCTAAGAACTTAAGATGAGGCATTGCATGAGATAAAGAGGCAGAGTCGGTGAATCAGTTCTTATGTTGTATCTGTAAGTTACGTGTAACCAAGGACATTATACAGAAGTCTTTATAATATCCTTGGTGGAACGTATAACTGAAACCCTTCAGCCATATAACTAAAAACATCCAGCTATTTTTCGTGATCCGGGAGGTTTGGGACCCCCCTCAGAGACAGTCAGTGATAGTGATGATATAGTGTTGACAGTTTAGCACAATGGAAATCTGTTGAGACTAACAGAGAAACACAAAATAAGTTTTAAAGTTTTAACTTTAGGTACATGTGAGTGAATTAGCCGTGATTAGGTACATGTAATTGAATAAGGTCAGTTTTTTTTTGTCCGTATGGCTTTCACGATTAAAGGTCCCTTTCCGTCTGCTATACTGACTAAACGAATAGCCACAAGCAGTTATCAGATTTTAATATAGCTTCAGAAGTATTGTATGGGTGGCCCGATTTAGACTAGGTTTGTATGTATATGTTCTGAGGTGAATATTTTACTTATTTTACAGGGGTTGACGCTGTATACAGTATGAATGTGTGAAACGTGTAATAACGGAGTAAGTTTTACTATAGAACCATGTTAGGGAACTATGTCTACCTCCAGGAGGTTTGAAATCTTTGGTTTCTTTGCTTTTTCAGAAGCAGTAGGTTGCCATCATGACGATAGAAAATGCGAAGCTACAAAGAAGTGTGTCTCTGATTTGTCCTGTAACGGGCTTCCTGGTTGTCTGGATTCTACGGACGAAAAGGATTGCGGTAGGTGTTTTTACTTGTCAATAAATTACACAAAATAAAGAGAAAATAAAAAAACATGCATAATACCGTCTTCTATTCAGGTCATTGGTTTTTAGTGTCAATACAACAAATGTATAGACAAAGACTAGTTTTTCAAATTCAAATTTTTATTCGGTAAGGCTCTTGGGGGAAGTACCCGAATTTCGTCCTTATTACATAGTAGATAGAGCATTAAAACAATGATTTGTGACACTCTTTATTGTGCACATGAAACAACATAGGCAAACACACTATTAACACATATTCGAAGACGATTACACAATTAAAATCCATGCACAATATGCAGTTATCACGTAGGATTTAGCTAGGTACTATATATATATATATATATATATAACACTACTGCTGAATTGTCTTGTTATAGAGGCGAACAGCGCGATGAAGGAACGAGTTGCTAAGTCTCTTAGTCCGGGCGTTAGGTAGACTGATTGTGCCAGAGTTTCTGAGTGACCTTACGCGTCCCGTGGCACCTGACCTAGTGGGCGCAACTTATAATATATCAAACGTTATAATATATGTAGATTTTAACTCTTTAACTTCCTGTTGAGCTGTCTGCCCTATTTTTATTAACATGTCAGATATAACGACCTGCATGGACACGGCGGTACGGTTTGGTGTTTCTGACCAGTATAAAGAAATTGAAGTCGCACAAAATTGCGATGGAAAGGACGACTGCAGGACGGGTGTTGATGAGAATCCACGGAGATGTGGTGAGTAAAGTAGCTTTTCCTAGCTGCTTTTGTTTTTTTTCTTATTGAATACTAATTTATTTCCTCTAACTAGTACAGTAATTTATTTTGTCTAACTTATGAGAGTTCAATAAGTTTATTCGGTTTCATTGGATGATTTATTATGAGACCTCCGAGCACTCTCAATGCAGTAATTTTTTTTAAAAGGTCAATTAATTTGCATCATAGAAGTGTCTGATTATCCAAATAAGGTCACAATTGCGTATATCTTTTCTATCTAGATAATACAATTTATCAATGTACGTATTTTAACAAAGAAAGGTAATAGCAGCATTTTTCTTGACTGTAAAAATGTTACATGTCTTAAAGTGGAAAATTCCTGTCATATTTTTTTTTTCAGCCATGTACACAGACCGACTGCCGTGCGTCAAATCCAACAGATTTGTGCCGGCAAACAGCTTCTGTAATGGATTTCCTGACTGCCATGATGCTTCAGATGAGGACGCCTGTATTGGTAAGCCTTAATGACAATGGAATTTATTGCATATTCATGCCCCAGTGGGGCTAAATGCACTTTTAGATTACAAAAAGGATTAGGCATACTATGCTATGTTCTATCTAAGCTGTATATGTTTCTTCTCTCTTCTTTAGACATTTGTATACGAATTTACAAAGTTTTTCTAATCATCAAGGTTAACTCAAGACAATATTTGTATGATCCTTTGTTAGATGCGCCCATTTTTGCTTTGTGTTTCAACAAAAAAGGTAGATCGTAGATCGCTATACAGTGGACACTCAACAATAAAGTGGACTTCATTTTCCATAGTATTATATCACAAAATGTACATAACCTATCATTAAGGGGAGCTCGTGTGTATCTACCTGTTTCAATTTGTAGTGGATGGTCGCTAATTCTTAATTTGGTAATGGCACGTCTATGGCTAAAGAGGAGTTGTGTGAACAATTTTTAATGATTTCGGGTTGTCATTATATTTAGCCATGTCAAGACATGTTGAAAGTTATTGTCTGCTAGCTGACACGCAATTGTTTTTAGAAAGAAATGCCGAACCTCTTACAATGTTTTTATTCAGAAAGCAAATTAATTAAAAAATATCTGCAGAAGAAGAGGGGAAACTATATGTTTGCTTTGTCGATATGAAGAAGGCATTTGACAGCGAATGGCGGGATGGCTTATTCTATAAACTGTCAAACTATGGTGTCTTCAGTCAATTTTCAATGTATTCCAATTTATCCCAATTTCTCCAAAATACTATTCTTCTTTAAACTTCTCAAAACCCAAAAATTTTGGAAAAGGTGGGACATTACCTCTTCCATTGTTTACAGAAAAGAAGACAAACCCTTCAGACATAGTTTTAGACAAAGTTATAGTTCTAGACAGCTACCTTTCATCATGTAGACTTCATCATTTATACTCTGTTACAATGTNTCAGATGAGGACGCCTGTATTGGTAAGCCTTAATGACAATGGAATTTATTGCATATTCATGCCCCAGTGGGGCTAAATGCACTTTTAGATTACAAAAAGGATTAGGCATACTATGCTATGTTCTATCTAAGCTGTATATGTTTCTTCTCTCTTCTTTAGACATTTGTATACGAATTTACAAAGTTTTTCTAATCATCAAGGTTAACTCAAGACAATATTTGTATGATCCTTTGTTAGATGCGCCCATTTTTGCTTTGTGTTTCAACAAAAAAGGTAGATCGTAGATCGCTATACAGTGGACACTCAACAATAAAGTGGACTTCATTTCCATAGTATTATATCACAAAATGTACATAACCTATCATTAAGGGGAGCTCGGGTGTATCTACCTGTTTCAATTTGTAGTGGATGGTCGCTAATTCTTAATTTGGTAATGGCACGTCTATGGCTAAAGAGGAGTTGTGTGAACAATTTTTAATGATTTCGGGTTGTCATTATATTTAGCCATGTCAAGACATGTTGAAAGTTATTGTCTGCTAGCTGACACGCAATTTGTTTTTAGAAAGAAATGCCGAACCTCTTACAATGTTTTTATTCAGAAAGCAAATTAATTAAAAAATATCTGCAGAAGAAGAGGGGAAACTATATGTTTGCTTTGTCGATATGAAGAAGGCATTTGACAGCGAATGGCGGGATGGCTTATTCTATAAACTGTCAAACTATGGTGTCTTCAGTCAATTTTCAATGTATTCCAATTTATCCCAATTTCTCCAAAATACTATTCTTCTTTAAACTTCTCAAAACCCAAAAATTTTGGAAAAGGTGGGACATTACCTCTTCCATTGTTTACAGAAAAGAAGACAAACCCTTCAGACATAGTTTTAGACAAAGTTATAGTTCTAGACAGCTACCTTTCATCATGTAGACTTCATCATTTATACTCTGTTACAATGTTGTTTATGTTTTGTAATTTGCAATTAGCCTCCGGGCACGAATTTGCAATAAACTTTCAATTAAAAAACCAAGCAGAACGTCTTGAAAAAATACCATTTTGTCGTATTCAATCATTGTTTTATAACATTTTTGTCGCAGACATTGGAGCTTGTTTGCTACCCGTAGATCTACTAGTGAAGGATTATATAGTTACTGAAGGCTTTGGAGCACGTCATTTAAACCACGGTAGCCTAGGTCTGTCCCTGACGGAATGGGTTGTTGATAACATTGAGGACTGGCTACAAATCACCCTCGAACATCCTGTCCAACTGGCCGCTATAGTTGTTTCCGGTCCCAGGTCATCGCATCCTCCCCCATTTACGTTGAAATACGGGCTTGGGACCGACTGTTTAACAACCTACATAGAGGCGGGTGAAATTAAGGTATCTAATTTCTATTGTTCCTTTTGGAGATCTACAATTTACGTTTTTTAACGTACCTCGACAACAGTTCCAAATGGTATTGATGTATATTACAAAAGTGCAAAACTGCTGGACATACCTTAAAGCCAGTCAGGATGGCATAAACAAGATCATTTCAAACTTTCAAACACAACTTGTCATCATTCAAAGGTATTCCAAACATCGAAAGTGAGTGCCAACTCCGCTGAACATTACCTGGCCATAGCAGTACACACCAGAGTCGTGATGCTTACCCCACAGTCTGCACTTGACAAAACTGTTTTGAACGTAGGTCTATTGGGTTGCCCAATTAAAGGTGAGATACTGTTCTAAAAGTAAAACATCCCAGAAAAGAAATGTTTTCTAAATACGCCGCTTTAATGGATGGTTAAGAAACCAGGATGTGGGTGAGTTTTAAGATGTTACTTTTAGATTCCACTGGTACTCGTAAAAGGAAAGGACACTAAGTGTTGAAAGTCAGGTGTTAAATTCTACGTCTGAAATGTACAACTCTGCACTTTATGGGCAAAAGTTTTACTTTGATTTTTAATTGTATGTGATATCAATACTTGTGTTTTCATAGAGCAACGTTTCAACGACAAGTTTTGTGGCAAAGGTTGGACGATGTTTGAAGAGAGCTGTTACCGGATTATTTCATCTCCGCTTGTCTGGTGGGCTGCGGAGCGATACTGTCAAGCTCTGGGTGGTCATCTGGCGGCGGTCAACACACTACGGGAGAATGAGTTCCTCCGCAGCAACACTGGCAATGGATGGATAGGGCTAAAGCTTGATTCAGTCGTCATGAAGAAACAACGGGAGGTATTCATGCTTAATCAGATTGTTTTTCTTCTTTTGTATGCTCGTCTCTTTGCAAGGTTTTCATAATTAAAAGCCAAGCAACACCTGAAAATAGATATTTTCAGTGGGATTGTCATGTTCCTTACATATCTGCTTACGATGAATTCAAGTGCACAGTCTGTCGTATTAAACTGTCGTTGTTGATGATTTGCATTTTATCATTGTTTTATACTAGTACATTCCGTACTTTTCTAGAGAATCAAAGACTTAACTTGGAGCAATGGAAGTCCTGCAGGAGACGCCTTTAAGGAGGAGAATATTGCACTTGACGCTTTCCAGGAATATCTTTGGAGACTCAATGATCCTTTATGTGCCACTCTAGAACTACATGGTGTGTGTTCTTCTTATCCCTGTCACCTGTTGGCGATTTTTAATTGCTATCGGGAGAGAATACCAACACAAAATAATACAACGTTCTCATTAAAACATATGATCATAAGAACAAAATCATCATTTCCATATAGTGCGTAATGGTACAGGTCGAAAGGGGCACGTCATATGAATCAGCCATAAGTAAATAGAACAAAAATTTAGGAAGTTAGCTTACTTCCCGTTGGCGCATGTTCACAGTGATCACGTTATTTTAACATGTTAACTAGAAAGGCCAATATTTGCTTTGGAGCAAATACAGCGATGGGTTCACCACATTTTACGACATGGCAGGGAAAGAATGAGAAACACAAGGGAAAACAATGATTTACATTGATATAACTATAATATGAAGTAACATACAACTAAAACAACAGTTGGATAGCTATTCCCTACTTTATTGGTTAGGATTTCTAATTGCATAATGCAAACTGTTGATTTTCAAAAAAAAAAAACGTTCATGCCCCGCATTCCAATGCTGGAGCAGGAAAGCTTGAAATACCTACCAAAACACTTGAATACAGACATACTGTTAGTATGGAAATGCTCTGTGCAGGTGTTAATCAAGTTAAATCCCAACAGCCAATCAGCAAGAAATGCTCTGTGCAGGTGGAAATGCTCTGTGCAGGTGTTAATCAAGTTAAATCCCAACAGCCAATCAGCAAGAAGAATAGAG